TGACAAACTTTGCTGAAGTTTTCCATTTTTTGAAGATAGTGGTGTGTTCTCCCTACTAAGAATATTTGGAAGTTAGATGACTGTAAGAGAAAGATTCCATTTAGAACAGACAAAAAAGTGATCAGTTACCAAATTTGTTGCTTTTGAAATTCTTTGATATTCCCATTCTAGTTCCATCCCTATCTGAAGAAGAATGAGTTCTGCAATTTTTCCAATTACAAACTGTACTTGGACCAAAATGGTGATGTAAAGGCTGATCTGAAGCTCATTAGCTGGGTGTTTCTTCGCCAGAAGAATCTCACGAGAGACCAACTGGTGACTTTGGAAAGGCAGAGAATTATTATCAATGAAGATCATATGTCATGGCTAAAGTTGCACAACAGGGTAGGAGAAATATTGATGTCTTTTCTCTATTTTCCAAAGGGTTCTGACCCATTTCATTGGGCTAAGCCTATGTACCGTGGCTTAGTGTTGAAATGGAGAAGCTGCATGAAAATGATAAGAGATGCTTTCAAATGCTAGGGATTATGGTTTGCTTCTTCCTTGTCCTCAGAAACCAAACAAGAAGGCATATTCGTTGCCTGTCCCTGAGTTCACATTTGGACTGAATGGTTTTGGTTCCAGTAAAAAATAAACTTTGGAATTAGGATTTATCTTGCACTTATTGGGGCCAGTGTCCCATTAAAGAGCAAGGAAAGACATTTTTAAGCAACCCAGACCTGACTAGAGTTACCCATTACAATCTCTCACTCCTCTGAGATAGCGAAATAGGCCTTCTGCTCCTATGAAAGAGGTCCAAAAATCATGGTGTCAAAATGATTGGACTGCTGAGAGATAATGCCCTGACCCAGGAAACTGAAGAAATAAAACAATATCTGAAGTAATGATGGACAATTTAAAAGGAAATATTACTTAGATTTGGACTTTGGCTTGTAAGAGGGCACTTCATCTAAAAACCCCTTGAATACAATTGTTGATACTGATTGTTAGCTACCTTAAATTACTGGGGGGTGGGGAAATGGAGGTTCCAAATTTAATTAATAACAAATATGATTTTGTTCTTCTATAGCAGTTGTTGTTACCTAATTGTAGTTCTTCAGCAGAAAGGACATGTGGCTCATACGGGCTGCAGCAAAAGATTCCTGATTTACAGTTTCTGAGGGACATGTTCTCATAACCTCACCTCTATCTCACATCACTACAGTACTAGAAACTGAGCAGTCACTTTTACTCTTATTTCTAGAGTATGTCAGCATGTCAGGATGGTTAGTGCTATCATATTTTCTTTGAAATTCTTTGTTTTTCTATTTAGTCTCTTCCTCAATCCAAATGTGTGGAAAAATGTCATCCTGGATTTGTCAAGCAGAAGCAAGAAGGAGAGCCATTTTGCTGTTACGACTGTGTTCCTTGTCCGGAGGGGACCATCTCCACTCAGGAAGGTGGGTGACACTGGAGGAAAGGACAACCCTTGTGGAAGTGGATTCATCCAGAACAATTTTCACTAAAGTGAAAGTTAAAGGATAAAATTAACTTCAACTGATTTTTTTGTATCTTTTCAAATTACACAACTTTTTTTTATCAAAATGAAAAATAGTAGAGACCTTGATAGGGATTGGAGAATATGGCATATTGGGCAAGTTTTGTTACTGCCAAACAAAATACCTCTTCCATTTTTTAGTTTGGATCTGCCTTCCACATTTATCTTTCCATGAACATTTAAGTTCTTTGAAACTGAGAGAATTGTCTTAGGTCCATTTCCTGGAAGGATTATTGCAATGCTCTCTCAATAAGCCTCCCCTTTTGGAGGAGGGGATCCATAATGAGGTGGTGTGGACAATTACTGAGGCATCTTGTTACACCAATATTACCTGTGGTCCCATAGTCATTCCAGATTATTTGCAGGATTACCTTTCTCTGCCAGCCAAATTACATTTCAGAAAATAGACATACTCTGACCCCAGTACTCAGAGTACTAAGAAGTACCATCTGGAAGGACCCCAAAAGTGTGCCGTAAGATAATATGATTGTTTATAATTGATTATTTACCTGTAATAATCTGCTTTACTATGAAAATTCTGCAGATTGCACAGGAAAGCAAAGAAAAACTCATAAGATTTCCCCAATTTCATAGACCTTAGCTTTATATGTTTTGGAAATGATGTTCTTCCTACCTTCTTTCTGAGGAGATATTAAGAAATAGATCTTGGAAAATGCTGCTGTTCTCCCAAGAAGGTATTCCTTGAAATGTAAAGGACAGAAATTTAAGGAAGTATTGTCTATTTATTTTCTCAGATACAGAAAAATGCACCAAGTGTTCAGATGATCAATATCCAAATGAGGTCCGAGTTCAATGTCTCCTCAAAGTAACAACCTTCTTGTCTTATAAAGAATATTTGGGCTTCATCCTCATCTCTGTTGCCCTACTCTTGTTCCTAACTACAGGCCTTGTTTTAATCTTATTCATGAAATACCGAGAAACTCCCATTGTCAAAGCCAACAATCGGGACCTCTCTTACATCCTCCTGGTCTCCCTCCTGCTTTGCTTCTTGACTCCTCTTCTCTTCATGGGTCAACCAAGGAAAGCCACCTGCCTTCTCCGACAAATGGTTTTCAGCATCATCTTCTCAGTGGCTATTTCTTCTCTTTTGGCCAAAACAATCACAGTTGTGCTTGCTTTCCTGGCCACAAAACCAGGAAATCGTGTTAAAAGGTGGTTGAAGAAGAGCTGGGCCAACTCCATCATCCTTTCTTCTGCTGCTATCCAAATTATCATCTGCTCCATCTGGCTTGGAGCTTTTCCCCCATTCCCTGACTCTGACTTTCACTCCCAGCCTGGAGTGATCATCCTGCAATGCAACGAAGGGTCTGTTGTCATGTTCTATACTACCCTCAGTTATCTGGGATTCCTGGCTGCCATCTGCTTTACAGTGGCTTTCCTAGCCAGGAATCTGCCTGGAGCTTTCAACGAAGCCAAGCTGATCACCTTCAGCATGCTGGTCTTCTGCAGTGTCTGGGTGACTTTTGTGCCTACTTATCTGAGCACCAAAGGGAAATACATGGTGGCCGTTCAGGTCTTCTCCATCTTGTCCTCCAGTGCTGGTCTGCTGGTCTGCATCTTCATCCCCAAGTGCTACATTATCATTCTGAGGCCAGACTTGAATACAAAGAAGCAGCTTATGGCCAAAACAAATGCAAAAATCTGAAACATAAGGATTTTCGTTCTCAAAATTTTCCAAGAGTCCAAACCTTGAATATGATGCAAGATGTTATCCATACATGAGTGGGCCAATGATTTTGCTTGGAAAAATTAAAGGCCAGTCAGAAAATAGTGTCGTCCATCCTTTTCCAGCTAATTGCAAGATGGATACTTAGCTCTTTTGAGTAGTTGAATCATCAGATCTATCCTGTGCCCTTAGCTGAGCTCTGGAAATGCCCCCACCAAAATATTTTAAATATGACGTTTGTACAATGGGAACCTTGTTGATATGGCAGAAATAATTGTATAAATGCAGTGGAGGCTGTAAAAATGCCATTATTTTAGTTGTATGCTAGTTTATCTGCAGTTGGGATTCTTTTTCCTATTGGACCCAAGATCTCAGCACCATCAACATAATACTGCATTCTATCCACTGTGCCATCATGGCTCATTATTATAAATTACTAGAAAGATGGTAGATGTTATGAAGAAGCAAATGATTTCTCCTCTTGCAGATAGAAATGTGGGCGGTGGGAGTGCTTATCTGCTCATTCTGATCAGTCATCGCACCTCTTTCTACTGATCCCTGTGTCATGTAGGACACAGAACTTAATCTTAATCCCACATACCTGTAGGATTTTGTAGGTGGAAAACAGGGCTGCAATCTGAGAGAAGGTGTCACTCTCGGTCCCTTCAAGGACAATAAAAAGCTCTTTCTGCCTTCTACAGCTAAAGTTAGGAACCTTGACCTCCCCAGCAGAGACCAAGTCCAGCACAGCATCCCAAGTCCTTCTGGGGTTCAAGTAATTGTCATGAAGAATTTAACCCAGGTGGACATTTGGAAGGAGGTGGAAATGCTGGTTGATCTCTTGGATGGCAAAAAAAAAGTAGAGGTCTTTGCAGCATTGGGTGGATGCTCTCCTAATAAAAGCTAATGTGAACTGATTAGAATAGAACCAAAAAGAAACAGAGAGAAAAAAACAAATAAAAGCTAAAAGCGCACCAAGAAAAAAATTCTGGTTTAAAAAAAAAACAGAATGATATAAATAAAGCTATAGAAATATAAAGAAGTAACTTCCAATATTCTTCACAGTAATTATAAGTACAATTATATTTTAACTTCTCTCTCTCTCTCTCTCTCTCTCTCTCATTACATTGTAACTAACTTCTTTTTATAGTCTATCCTGTCCAATCATTAAAAGAATAAGTCGTACGAGAATTTTTGTGGACTTTTTATGCAAAAAGACACTAAAGGTGTTTCAGTCATCAATAAAGGTACATTGCCCTTTCATTCAGGTAGTCCTTGACTTACAACACTTAATGACAATTCAGAGTTACAATGGCACTGAAAAAAAGTGACTTATGGCCATTTTTCACACTTATGATCTTTGCAGCATTTGAACATACATTTTAATTTACATTTGGATGCTTGACAACTGATTGTGATTCCCTTAACCATGTGGCAAGAAAAGTCATAAAATGGGGCAAAGCTCACTTAACCAATTTCTCACTCAGCGACATACATTTTGGGCTCAATTGAGGTCGTAAATTGAGGGCTACCTGTAAAAGAAATCCATTTGCCCATTTCAACAAATTCTGTCCATTTCACCAACCAATTCCTCCATGGTGGGCAGGGCTGAATTTTTCTGAATCTTCCATGTGGAATAGAAAAAAAAATGGCTGCTGCCAGGATAGATTCAAAGTTGACAGTTGCTGCAGCCAACTGTCACTGATCGGAACCTTTGTTCGGTTGCTAGGCAACTAACCTAACGGAACCTCCCTTCTGCTCTCCTTCATCCTGGGCCATGACAAGTCAACTCTTCAAGAGCCCAAATAAACAGCAAAGAGGACAAAGGAAAACCTTCTCTTGTCCCCTTCTAGATATCACTTAGATCACCATTAATCATAATTGGTCCCCTCAAGCTAGCTTCTGGGTGGATGTGGGCTATACTGTAGGCACTGCAACCATCACCCCTGTGGACCTCATGGCCCACTCTTTATTTAACAAAACAAGACACTTCAAAATATAGAGGATTTTAGTGTCTTACATGAATAGGGAAAGACAACACAGAGAGTGTCAAGGGAAAAAAAAAACTTTAAATCCCTCCTTTAACTTTATTTAACTTTCTCCCTATTTACTCAATGATACAAGATATCGCTTTCCTGTCTTTTAGTCACCTCTCATCCAAAATCTGATATTTCTGATCTGTTCTATTTCTAGAACAGATGGGAAATGGAATTTCACTTCAGATACTTCAGGAATTTTAAAATCAGCTCAGATATAAGATGTATAAACAAAGATTTAAAATAAAAGAAAATCACAAAGAGGCCCTAGTCTTAACTTGAGGGTTCAAGGGACTGATTGCCTCCATAGCTATGGATGACCTTGCCCAAGAGACTTTGGAGGAGAGACCATCTTGAAGGACAGCAAAAGTTCCCTGGTTGTTGATATATCTTCATCTATTTTCTGGATGAGTCCTGACAGGAAGGATAACCACTAGAGAACAGGGCCTCCAAGGGTGTATCTGTGTAGGTCAGTGGGTCAAGGGTCACGGTATCAGGCTGTAGTAGCACACTGCCGGCTGGTGATCTGTGGGTCTTTCCTGCTTACTGCATTACTTCATTATTGGCTCGGATGTGGATGATCTAATATAAGCTCACCTAGAGAAAATGGCAACTTGAGAGGGGGGTGAATAACTTCTATCCAATCAGAATACTGTTACTGTGCTACCTTTTATCTGCTTGTGTAAAACTGTATAAAAAATAAAGTTCTCTACGAAGTTGGGAGAGACATCTTAGAGACATCTTAGAGACATCTTGGGAGACATCATGAAACAGAGCAAAAGCCTGGACCTCTGATTTACAACATCTGGCGCCCGAAGCAGGGACACCCTCCATGGGGAGCAGCATCCTTAACATCCTTATCATCGTCTGGAATAGACCCCTGACGTGCCTTTCATCCTTCGGGATCCCTAGTGGTAAGTCATGGGCTGCAATCTATCTCAATATCAGCAGCAACTGGTAGTTGAGATAGGGAAACATTGTCCCTGGTAACCTCGGGCTGGGACAGCCCTTCGCGGGAAGCAACAGCCTTAAGATACTCATCATCATCTGGAAATATAGACCCCTGGTACCTTCATCCTATGTGGATCCCTAATGGTGAGTGTTGGTTGCAATCTGTCGCAATATCAGAAAGTTCATGTGCGGGGGATTGCACAAGTCTGGCATGACGATATACAGACTGACAAAAGGAACTTGTAGTTGAGACAGGGAAATGTTGTCCCTTTTATCCGGAACAGGGGACGCCTTGTTTGAGAGATATAATAAAGATAGGGCAAGCTTTACATCTTGAACCTAAGGCTTCAGTGCAAATATTACATCAATGGTATTAATGTCATCAAGGAATAGAAAAGTATGGCTCTGCTGCTTTGGAAGGGCAACAATTAACTACAAGCCCTCCACCTGATTATAAAGTTAAAATTGTCACCTCAAAACCATCTTTAATTGAACCATCAGTTCCTTCTGAAGGAGCTAGTTACACCCCCATTAGGCAGAATTTAAAGAAACAGTTAGAAAAAGGGGGTGGAATATAGAAGAAATTGCTGATATGCTTTCTGTTTGTCTACCGGCTGCAACTTTGCAAGTTTCTTCTGAATGTGCTTATCACGCCTTTGGAAAAGTGCCTTTTTCTGGCAAATGTCAACAAGCCTTCTCTAACATGAGGCAAATGGCAAAAGACAACGCCACTTCTGAATGCCGAAGAGCAATTGTTGGGCCGGGAAAAGATCTTGATTTGGCAGATATGTTTAAACCATGTCAAGATATAGGAACATCTTATAAAACTAATTTGTTAGCAACTGCTGTATCACCAGGCAGCAAACCTCAAGGAAAGAGTTATGATTGTGGAAAACCTGGTTATTTTAAAAGAGACTGTAAAAATCCAAAGGGGGGGGGGCATGTCTGTAACATCTCGCCCTCTCTTTCATCAGGGATCAAAACCCTGGTATATCATCTACATGATGACATTTTAATTGGAATGCAAAAAATACAACCTAATTGGCTTTTTGAAATACAAAATGATTTATGTGTAAATGGATTGTAAATTGCCCCGGAAAAAATACAGCTGCACACTCCTTAGGACATAAGTATTTTTCTGCTCCAGCTTTTCCTTGTTTAAAGTTACCCAAAGTTATTTCCTTAGTAAATTTGCAACAACTATTGGGTACTATTAATTGGGTCCGCCCATATTTTTCTTTACCTATGCATTTACTTAGTCCGTTATTTGAGTTAGTGACTAAAGGAAAAAAGCCAGGAGATTTAATTATAGTTCCATCTGTAGTATTTGCTACAGTTGAGAAAATTAATAACATTTTGAGTATTAGTTTGTGGATTGAATCCCTCATAGAGATTGTCAGTTATCTCTGTTAATATTTCCTACTAGTAAACGGCCCACAGGAGTATTGGCTGCTTTAGAACAGCAAAAAGTATATTGTATTGAATGGCTTTATTTGTCTCATTACCATCTAAAAATGTTTTACCCTTTATTCAAGCCATGGCTGAAATTATAACCTTGGGGCATACTTGAGCCTGTCAAAGAAATGGAACTGATTTAATAAATATTGTTCTTCCTATCTCAAAATCTGACTTTCACTTTTATTTTCAGAATAATTTATCTCTTTAGTGTGCTCTAACTGACTATATAGACTGTATTTCATATCATCTGCCTAAAGATCCTAGGTTTGCTTGTTTAATGACTTCCTCCTTTCCTATTCGCTCATTACTTTCTTCTTCTCCACTACCGCAAGCTCTTACGGTTTTCTCTGATGGAGGACGAACGAGAGGAGCTATTGCTTATAAGGATCCTCGTGACGACATCTGGAAAGTTTCCTACACTACAGTACAGTCTTCATCTCAGCGCTCAGATTTGTCTGCAGCTATCTTAGCTTTCCACACTTTTTCTCAACAACCTTTCAATCTGCTCTCTGACTCTCAGTATGTATGTCAACTGATTTTTAATCTTCCAGGTGCTTATATCACGCCCAGGATTGACTCCAACCTTATGGCTTTATTTCTCACTTTACAGCAACTACTACAAGACCGGAAGCATTTGTATTTTTTCTCTCACATACGCAGTCATTCATCCCTTCCTGGGCCTCTTTCTGAAGGCAACAGTCATGCTGATCCTGCTGTTCATGTTTTACCTACTTTATTTACAGATCCATTTTTTAGCCATTCTTTTTTCCATCAAAATGCCAGGGCGCTGGTACAAGCTTGCCATATTCCACTAGAGAAAGCTAAGCAAATTGTTTCATCCTGCCCCCAATGCTCTGGGGCATCCCCTTCAGGAGACACGGGAGTTAATCCCCGTGGTCTCACCTCTAATCAATTATGGCAAATGGATGTTACCCATGTTCCTTCTTTAGCTCCTTGGAAATATATTCATTTATCTATTTATACCTATTCTGGAGCAATTTGGGCTACCCCTCAATGAGGGGAAACAGCTAATCATGTTATTTCTCATCTTTTTTTCAGCCATTACAGCTCTGGGCAAGCCCTCTTCTTTAAAAATAGATAATGGGCCTGCCTATTCTTCACATGCTTTTTTGCAATTTTGTACAACCTGGAATATTGTTGTTACTCATGGTCTTCCCTATAATTCCACAGGTCAAGCTATTGTGGAATGTGCTAATAGGTCCTTTAAGGACTGCCTTCACAAACAAATAAAAAAGGAGGGCTCTCGGGTCCCAAATTTGTCATGGGTAACACAACAGGTTACAAAAGTTTTATTTACTTTGAATCAATTGAATTTTTCAATTTCTAATTCAACCGCTTATCAGAGGCATTTTCAACAAAAAACAAGTTTGCCTCCTCCTCTGGTATATTATAGAGCATTACCAGACAAAACATGGTTAGGACCGATTCCTTTGATTACTTGGGGGTGGGGTTAGGCTCCTGTGTTTACATCTACAGGACCTTTGTGGGTACCAGCACTTTGTGTTCATCCAGCCAAGGATGTCATGGCACCAACCCCTGAACCCTATCCCAGAGATGGCAAAGATGACTCTACAGACAGCGCGGCGACCAACCTGATCCTGTTGTGCCAGTCATCCAGTGACATGGGGAGATGTAAAGAATTTGACCACCAAAGCGCAGGCAGTGCTGAAGCAGCAACAAGTGGAACAAACACCCGAGAATTTGTGCGCTGCCATTTTTGTGGTTTTAACTGCCAATTCTGTAGTCATAATTTGTTTGTGCTTGATTGTTAATAACTGTACTTTAGCATCAGCAGCTGTCATACCATCTAAACATCGCTCGAACAACACATGAAACAAGACATATGGGTGCAGCTTGCAAACATTACAAAAAATGGATGCCTTTTGTTTGTCTGAAGTGTATGATATGGAAAATTTGCTTTCTACATGTTTAATTGCTGTATGTACCCCTGCTGTAGTAATTCAAAACTTTACTAATTTGAGTGAGTATTTGTTCAAAGGGAACTTTGATTGGAAGACTATAGCTCATTGGGGGGAAGCTGAGTATCATTCACCCCCTAACGCAAATTGATTTATATCAGTTCCTGAAAATGTAACTTTGTTGCTTTAACATTTTAGATGTATCAACATCTTTTAGATTCAGCATCAACTTAACATTTTACATAATTTGGCCTCTGATATAAAAATTGATACTTTAGGATCTTGGTGGGAAAGCCTTTGGTCTTGGTTACCGACAGGCTTATTGGGAAACATCCTACATTATTCAGTCATCATTTGTACTATTTTAATTGGTGGGTGTTGTTTTGTTCAGTGTCTTCCCTCTTTTTGTAACATATGTATCTCTGCATTTCGCCCAAAACAACCTCTTACGTTGCCTCAGGGTCAGGTTTATGCCTTGTATAAACAACTGCAGGGATATTCCTCTCCTGATAATAACCCTTTTTCTGGCTCCTCGTAAGAGGATGGCTTCACAAATAAAACAAAACAGAGTGGAATGTAGGTCAGTGGGTCAAAGGTGATAGTACCAGGCTGTAGCAGCACACTGCCGGCTGGTGATCTGTGGGTCTTTCCTGCTTACTGCATTACTTCATTATTGGCTCGGATGTGGATGATCTAATATAAGCTCACCTAGAGAAGATGGCAACTTGAGAGGGGGGTGAATAACTTCTATCCAATCAGAATACTGTTACTGTGCTACCTTTTATCTGCTTGTGTAAAACTGTATAAAAAATAAAGTTCTCTACGAAGTCGGGAGAGACATCTTAGAGACATCTTAGAGATATCTTAGAGACATCTTAGAGACATCTTGGGAGACATCATGAAACAGAGGAAAAGCCTGGACCTCTGATTTACAACATATCTGGGATTTTTCATTAACATCCTTTTCTCCAGCTTCTCCTCTGCAGATGGGACCATGAAGTAGTTTAGGATCCCAAGAGGAGAAGTTGTTTCTCAGTGTAATGATCATAATTCTGGGTTTGGGACATCTGCTGCTGCTTCTCCAGTGACTACCTTTGATGTAAACATTAGACTGAAGCAACATGCAAAGTCTTGCATCAGGAAAGAATATATGCATCAAATCACAGGCTGTGTGGCACACATATTGGGACAGGCAGGGACTATGCTTTTGAATGTACACTGCTTTCCTTTCAAGACAAAAGCCAGTTTGTCTCTATCTATATTGGGAAAGCCCCTGACATTTCCATCTTGTAGAGTGTACTTCTAACTCTTCATGTTCTTGTTTAGAAATAGGAAAGGGGTTGATTCATCCCTGTGAATTATGGACCTCTTTTTTATGCTTCTGATGTTTCAGACTTCCCAGCAAGTCTCCGGGAAGCTTAGACTGAAGTGCCCGCTGAGTTTGGAGCACCGGGATGAAACCTATCCATGGAGCTATTATAGACAAGGAGACCATCTGATTGGTGTAGTCCTCTGTGCCACGAGAATATTGCGTGAAATGTTGTCTTTCAACATGGCTCCAAATAAAAAGTCTCACTCGTAAGTCATTAATGTGTGTGATGGATTTACATTCCCTCCATTTACACTTCTGTTCTTTTTATTTCCCTAACTCTTATGTTACAGGACCTTTCTAATTTTCTGAATCCTTTTGATTTCCACGGCTTCCCTCTTTTGTCCACTTTTGCGGAAGAGACTCAAGTCCAGAGATGAGGCAAAGAAAATACCTGTAAGAATTCCAGATTGCCACCCCCCCTCCGGTCCAATGCAGAGTTTATCACTTGAATGTTAGTTTTTCTTTAAAATAATGATGGAAAGAGCTGTAGTTTCCTCTGCCCAACCCTTTTCCATACTTTGATAACATCTCATTGATAGCCATTCCCTCATTCTTATAGAAAGAGAGGATGAGTTGTTTGCAGAATCACTTTTCCTGGGCATCTATGAAAAAGCCTCTTCTTTTTATGGTGGTTCTACTCTAATGATTCAATTAGTTTGAAACTGAGTTATTGGAGAAATGAAAATCAGCACTACTACAAAATGATATATTTGTAACTTTTAACCCTGGTGGTTGTTAATCTCAATTCCATCTTCTGAACAATAATAAAATGGGTGACTATTATTTGCCCATTGTTATGGACAAGTATTAGCGTGAGGATTCAAAGAGAAATAAATAAACTTGAACATTATTTTACAGTAAGACATTTAATGATATGCATAGAATCCTCCGCTTCATTATGACCATTGAAGAGGTCATCAAGACTCAACGATACCTGCAAAATGTCACCATTGGCTACAACATCCAGAATGACTATTTTAACACAATTGGCACTTCAGAAGCTTTGCTGGACATGCTCTCTACCGGAGAAGCCAATGTTCCCAATTACAGCTGTGGAAGGAAGGACAACCTTTTGGCTCTTGTTGATGCAGCTGCCAGTGATATCTCCATCCAGATGTCAACTTTAGTAGGCACCTACAAAGTGGCACAGGTTTGTGTGTGTGTTTGTGTTTCTCTATCTGGTCAAGTGAATGGAACAATAGATCCAACCATTTTGTTTATGTCAGTTAGTTTACTTTATTGCCATTGCACTTTGTTCAATGAAACTAAATGCCATCTTCAGTGTTCATCATTCATTAGAAAACTATAAAAATAAAACAAAAAACACACATCCTTCACATTCTATACAACTGAATTGAAATCCACTGATACTGCATTAGTATAACACTATACAGTAGAATTCAATATAGTTACTTCTATGGGATAGAGGCTGTTTTTCAGCCTATTTGCCCTTGTTTTTATTATCCTGTACCATCTGCCAGATGGTTATAGTTCAAAAAAAAAGGGTGCCCAGGATGAGATGGATCTTTAAGAATGTTTTGAACTTTCTTAATGCAGCGGGAACTATAAAGCTCTTCCAAAGAGGGGAGAGAGCAACCAATGATGCTAACCCTCTGGAGCGCTGTCCTATCTGCCACTGTGCAATTGGCAAACCATACACAGGTGCAGTAAGTTAAAAGACTCTCTATCTTTCTGTCGATGCAGAAAGTTGTAAAATATTATATAATGTTGTTATTTATCTTTTGTATTTTACCGTTTGGTGTATGTGTAGGTTTCTTTTTCTTTTTTTGTCTTTTGTTTTTTTCTATTATATTTTTGGTTTTAAAAATGTAAAATATTCAATAAAAATCTTTTATTTTTGAAAAAAAAATACTCTTTACCATGCAGCAGTAGGAGGTCACCATCAATTTTTCACCAGTGCTTTTGACCAGTGCTGCAATATGAGCATCCGAGGTCATGTCCTCTTTTATGATAACACCCAAAAACTTACAACTGGCCTATATAAGCTCCTTAGTCTTATTGAAGAAGGTGAAGGTGAAGAATTCTTTATTGGCCAAGTGTGATTGGACACACAAGGAATGTGCATATGCTCTCCTTGTACATAAAAGAAAAGATACATTCGGCAGAATCATAATTTACAACTCTTAATGATAGTCATAGGGAACAAATAAGCAACAAATCATATTAGGAATCTTAAGGATACCAGCAACAAGGTTACAGTCATACAGTCATAAGTGGGAGGAGGTGGGTGATAGAAACGATGAGAAGATTAATAGTAATAGTAATAGTAATGCAGACTTAGTAACTAGTTTGATAGTGTTGAGGGAATTATTTGGTTTGCAGAGTGATAGCGTTTTGGGGGGAAACTGTTCTTGTGTCTAGTTGTTTTGGTGTGCAGTGCTCTATAATGTCATTTTTAGGGTCAGAGTTGAAGCAGATTGTGTCCAGGATGCGAGGGGTCTGTAAATATTTTCACAGTCTTCTTTTTGACTCGTACAGTATACAGGTCCTCAGTGGAAGGCAGGTTGGTAGCAATTGTTTTTTCTGCAGTTCTAATTATCCTCTGAAGTCTGTGTCTGTCTTGTTGGGTTGAAGAACCAAACCAGACAGTTATTGAGGTGCAGATGAAAGACTTATTGGTGTTAAGGATGAAGTTATTGTCTCCACACCATGAAAGCAATTATTGAATTCAAGAACTGCTTTCCACTGTGGCCATTTCAGATGCCATTGCTATGACTTAGGATCCAGAGTGAGGAAAGATCAAAACAGTCATATCCTCTCATGACACCATCCCCATTGCTTTGATGGTTTCTGCTACACGTTTGTGAAAGTTACCAGAGGCTCTGTGTCTAGTCAAATTGTCTTCTGTGCAAAAGGAAAATGAAGCAATGATAGAAAGCTCTTGTTTTGTAGATTATTTTAGCCAAAGTAATATTTTTATTCAATAGTAATATATCCTAGATTCATGAAAAGAATCCCAGTGGATTATTTTTCTTACAGTCTACATAGAAACATTATAGAGACCACTAGCATTAACTAACCACTTTATTAAAACACTGCAAACATGTTAGCCAAAATGGTAAGAGCCACGGTGGCTCAGTGGTTACAATGCAGTACTGCAGGCTACTTCTGCTGACTGATGGCTGAATGCAATTTGGCAGTTTGATTGTCATCAGGCTCAAGGTTGACTCAGCCTTCCACCCTTCTGAGGTGGGTAAAATGAAGACCCAGATGGTTGGGGGCAATAGGCTGACTCTGTAAACCACTTAGAGAGAGCTGTAAAGCACTGTGAAGTGGTGTTATTGCTCTTGCTTCCCCGCCCCTCCCGCAACCTATTGATGATATAGTCTATCACAGAAGTCTCAAAGAGACTTCACTAGAACCTCCTACTGTCTGGACTATTCAAGAAGTATCCCAATTGGTGATATTTACTCAAAAAAATTTCAGCACCTGGAATAATGGTTAAATAAGTACCTTATAACCCCACAGACTTTTATTTGTGGAGCTCCAGAGATAAAAGATGTAAAATATCTATTATCTGAATGTTAATAGTTTATATATTTATTTTATTTTATTAGTTTGTCAAACATGTACGACATAACAGGAATAAGTATGAACATTTCTATTAATACAGGAAATGGGAATGAATTAATGGGGACAGTAGGACAGGGAGGGAAGGCACACTGGTGCGCTTATGCACACCCCTTACAGACCTCTTAGGAATGGGGTGAGGTCAACAATAGACAGTTTAAGGTTAAAGTTATGGGGGATTGAGGATGTAACAAAAGAGTCAGGTAGTGCATTCCAGGCATTGACCACTCTGTTGCTGAAGTCGTATTTTCTGCAATCGAGTTTAGAGCGGTTTCCTTGAGTTTGTATCTATTGTGTGCTCGTGTATTGTTGTGGTTGAAGCTGAAGTAGTCATTGACAGGTAGGATTTTGTAGCGGATAATATTGTATACTAAGCGGTGAAGTTCTAATATATGAAATATACTATATTTATATTAATATGTATATGAAAAAGAGAGATCAGTATCTTAAACCACACATTAGATGAAGGATCTTTTGGAATCTATACATTAAAACAATATATTTCCTTTGCAATCAGAATTTTAAAACATACTTATAATATGAAACTGTAGTTGAATAAAAGAGTTCAGCTGGTATCCCCATATGTGGATCTCATGGTGGTAGCTTGTAGTGATGATACAGAAATATTATTTGTAGTCTTTATTCTTTTCTTTTATTCTTATTAATTTGTTTTTATTCCATTTTATATAAGGTTCTGCTTATTATATTATGTATCTTCATATGGAGTCTAATAACTGATTAACCACATACTATTTCTATATGTTCATAAGAACCAAGTTGGATGGATTAAAAACTAACATTTGGAGTTGATCTGACTCCAAATATAACACAGAATTCTTCATAACTTTTTTTCAGACCAGTTATGAAATTGTTTCAGAGGCTCTGAGTGATAAAAGTCAGTTCCCCTTTTTCCACCCGATGTTCCCCAAAGAAGGGATCCAATATCCCGGCATTGTCCAACTGCTCCTCCATTTCAGATGGACCTTGATTGGTCTCTTTGCTTCAGACACAGAAAATGGAGAGAATTTCATGAGGATTTTTACTCACTTGCTTGTCAGGAATGGGATTTGTGTTGTTATATCACAACGATTCTCAACAACTCGACTTACAGCACCCCTCACCCCCTTAGAGAATGCCGTCTCTAAATGGAGACAAGTCAACGTGTTTCTTCATTCCATTGAACATGTTCCTCTTTTGGAGAGAATTATTCCTTTCCATTTAACATTTAAGCAGTTGTCTGGACCTATAGAAGGCAAAGTCTGGATCCTCACAGTCTTCGAGACATATCACATGCAAAGGAACAGAGATTTCAAGTACATTCATAGTGTATGGAATTTTTCTTTACAGGAAAAAAAAGTGACAAAAGATAATGCCGTATATCCCTACCACTATGTAGAACCCCAATATCGAGATCGGTCTTTGCACTGTTCTTTTTCAAGGCATGCCTTTTCTGTCAAAGGTCGTAGAAGATGCACCCAGAAAGCACCAATGGAGAACAAAATAAGTGGTATGAACATTATAACTAAAGTAAAAGTTTTCAGTATCGTGAGGACTCTGGCCCATGCCTTGAATGCTGCATATGCCTCCAGATCCAGGAGGAGAAGAAAGAACAACAAAGAGAAGTTGAGCGATTCAAGGCTGCAGCCATGGCAGGTACTGGATCCCAACAAGGATCTTGGTTCCTTTGGAGAAGGAACTCAAAGGAGGAGGGGAGGGAATCGTCTCAACCTCCTTGTGCCACAAAAGATCAGCAGGTTTGGCTGCTCTAATTGCTTGGAGCATAAAGTTCCAAACAGCAAAAAAAGAGGGCAAATATATCTTGATATTACAGACTGAAAATTTTCTTCCCCTTCAGGGCTCTCAGGTTACCTTGATGCTGACCCTGACTCTCACACTTCCTCCTCCTCTGATTCGGCTGCAGGAGGGGCCGGTGGCTGACAGGCCACAACAATGTCTCCCCCCACTCCCGCGTTATTTGTCATTTACTCTAGAATATTCCCTATAATTGGCCAATTCTGTTAAGTATATTTTCTCAATAATATTTTGTCAGTCCGTGATTGACAAATTTTGCTGAATGTTTTTTTTTTGTTGTTGTTGTTGTTCACTTGTGGAAATAACACCTGTTCTAATTAACCATATTTGCAACTGGTAAAATTGTAAAGATTCAAATGTGAATAGACCATGTAGGACAGCGGTTTCAAACTGGCATCCCGTGGGCCAGATGCATCACGTACAGGCTATACACACACACCAACTCAGCAAAGGCAAAAAATGTCATGATATGTCACGATACATCACGTGATACGATCGAGATTGACATCCCCGATATAGGATAAGAAACCAAGGTTTCTGCTTTTAAAATTCATGGACTTTTCCATTCTAGCTTCATCCCTTTATGAAGAAGAGTGTATTTTGTAATATTTCCCTTTGGAAACTGTACGTGGATCAAAATGGAGATATAGCAGCAGATCTGGACATCGTGAGCGGGTTTAGATCCAAAGATTACCTCATCAAAGGCAAACTGGGGAGTTTTGAAAAAAAGGGACTTTTTGTCAACCAAGATGCTCTTCAACAGCTAACATCGCTCAACCAGGTGAGAAAAATATCGGTGTCTTTTCTCTATTGTCCAAAGATGTAACACAGTTTTCAAGCAAGCTAAGCATAGTCACCATGGCTTAATGGTGAAATGAAGCAGCATGAAACTGATGAGAGGGATTATTGGCATCAGTTTGCCGAACCTGTAGTAATTACACCATCTTAGCCCCACCCATGCCCAGCCAGTGGCCGCTCACCATTTTGCATCCATGCATCAGGCACTGTAAACATCTACTCATCAGCAGCAGCAGCAGCTACCTCCAGACCTGGGGGCTGCTGACTCTCCCTCTTAGAACCAATGGACAGCCAAGGCTCTGCCTCTGTCTATCTCTCTCTCTCTGCCAGCTCCATTTCTTCTTCCCCCTTGGAGCTCTCAGGCTGCCTTGATGCTGACCCTAACTCCCACACCTCCTCTTCCTCTGATTTGGCTGCTGGAGGGGCCGGCGGCCAATAGGCCACAACAGTAATGTTTTAAGTAGCCAGAGTGATCCAGAGTGATGCATTCCTCTTTTTCCCCACACATGGATAGAGCAACCTGACTTCTGTTCCTAAAAGGGGGGTCCAAGGCTTTCAGTTCACATGAAATCATAATGATGGTTGTGATATGAGACAATGCCCTTACCCAGAAGAATTGAAATAAGACTTTGATCCAAAGAAAACTTTTTCCTCATATCAGAAATCATGAGTGACAATTTGAAAGGATATGCTACCAGTACTTAGATTTGGCCTTTGGCTTGTAAGAAGGCACTTCCATCTGAAAAGTTCTTGAATGCAATTTTTATCTTGATTGTTGGATATTAAAGTCTCTCTGGGCAAAAAAAGGAGGATCCAAATTTAATTCATAATAAACATAGGTTAGTTTTTCCATGCCAGGTGGTGTCACCAAATTGAAGTTATTAAACAAAAAGGGTTGTTGTTTTTTGGGGGGGATCTCTAGCTGAGCCTTAGAGTCAGGCTCATTTCCTACTTCCGGCAGCAAAAGATACTTGACTTACCCTGTTTGAGGCTCACCTTCTCATGATCTCATGTCCATCTTACACAGGGGTGGGCTTCAAAAATTTTAGCAAGAGGTTCTCTGCCTGGTTGCTGGGTGGGTGTGATCGTGATGATCGTGGCCTAGTCAGCCTTCTGAACCACAGCAGGGGGGACTTTCTTCGATCCTGCAGGAGGGCAAAAATGGCCTCCCCAGGCTCCGGAGGCACATTTTTCACCCTCCCCGAGCCTTCGTGCATGCCCTGCACTTACCTGCATCCCAAACAGGCAGTATGAGGACTCCTGGGAGTGGCGGAATGGAGTGGGTGAGGCCAGCCAGGAGTGGGATTTGGGGGTTCTCTGAACTGCACAGAATCTTAGCTTGAAGTTCTCCCGAATTCCTGCGAATCTCCAGCAGCCCACCCCTCATCTGATCACAACAGTTCCAGAAATTAGGCAGTTTTAGTCTTATTTCACTAGCATGGCAGCCGCATGACTTGAGGAAATAAATACTGTATATAAAAAAACAAATAACATTCCCTTTAAGGTTGGCAGCTCTTATTTTTAAGCACCTTTTGCTTTGTAGCTTTAGTAGAAAACTGTTTTGAACCCTTTTCAAAGGGCTTTACAATGTTATATATAGTCCTTAAGAATTTTTTGCAGCTCCTGCTAGTGAGATGTTGGATTTTTTTAATCACAGTTTTACTTTTTGGAAAACAATCTAATGGAGTAAAAATTTTAATACATTTATAAATTTAATTTAAATTTAGAATCAATCAATTTATTACAGTCTTAGACCAGAGACCAGAACAAATAAAAATGCTCAGCAAATATATGTATGTATGTATATATACCAGTAGCAGGTATTGGCAGAATATGCTTTTTCCTAATTGCTGTATAAAAAGAAAATCTAAGGAGCATGTGACCCACAGTCCTGAGATGCAGGAACAGAGACTTTCCATCAATGGTATCCTTTTATACTTGCTGTACAGGACGGCCGATGGAAATGCATGGCACTGTGGTAGCAAAAATGCTAAATTTAACGATGAAAATTTACAGTTAAATTAAATACAATTTAATATGAATAGCTATTCATACTTGAATGTCATGGATACCTGAAGAATAGAGGAATGCATGTTCAGATGGCTATAAGGAGGAAGCCACTGGTTGTCATTTAATGCTTAAATATTTTTTCAATTCAATCTTTCCAGACTTTATTAAGTAGAAAAGTACCTTATTCCAAAGGGATCTACCAGAAGCAAAGGTGAGGAACTAAATGAAGAAACGTCATTCTAACGGTCATTTGGAATTAGTTAGAAATTTTATATTCATATAAGTGAGGCCCATAGTGTACTGGACTAATGTTTACATTGACCTGTATTCTCCATGGCTGGTCAGTCCTGAGATGTTTTCTTTGGCATTCCTTATTTGCCTGCTTTAGAGTTTCCCTCAATCCAAATGTGTGGAAAATTGTCGTCCTGGATTTGTCAAGCAAGCTCGAGAAGGAGAGCCAGTTTGCTGCTACGACTGCATTCCTTGTCCAAAGGGGACCATCTCCACTCAGGAAGGTGGGTAACTCTGGAGGAAGAATGCTGGATTCGTCCAGAGCATCTAGATCGAGATGCAAGTTGAAGACACATTCTTCCATAATGGGAGGAATAAGAAAAAGATCTTGAAGGATGAGATTGGAATACGTAGCTGTTTTTCTTCCATAATGGGAGGAATAAGAAAAAGATCTTGAAGGATGAGAGATAGGAGGACATGGTGGATTCTGCAATGTTACTTATGCCAGGGAAAATCTCTCTTCTACTTGTCAGTTTAGAATTATCCTATCATCTTACTTATTGCGCACACATACACAGCAAAGCAGTCGAGCGCAGTGCGTGCTCAGTGAACCAGTTGTTAAACCGGTAGGATCCCACCCCTTTTTCAGATGAACGGCTTTTTCTCATCCAAGCTAACTTTACTTCATAGACCAATGATACATCAATCAATCATGAAACCAATATTTCACTCAATTAATCCATCAATCGATCTTTATTAAGTTCATAGGGCCACATAAGCAGAAAGAACTAATTGGGAGGATCACAGAGGGAGAGCTTTTGGGTTGAAGAAACAAGAGAAAACCAAATGGAGGATTCACCATAAAATCCATCAAGAGGATATCAGTGTGAGAGGAGAGATGTAAACTAAATTTACCATTATTAGGCATAAAATCTGCCTCTTTCCTCTCAAATACTTTCAGTTGTGGTTTAAGAATTAAAAGACAAATATTGTTTATAGCCCAGTTCAACCCTCCCAGTTTCAACAAAACCATCATAATAGATTCATTAGTAGGATCCCTACTAAGCCTGTCCATCTTATAGTTACAATTTTATTGGATATTAAACAGTGGAATACAAACAATTAAACACACACAAACACACACGCACACGCACACACGCACACACACAAGAAATCCAGTTGTGATTCTAAAAGGAAAAAAAGCTTTAAATTCACTTTTGGGATTAAAAGCAACCAGATAAAATAGAAAGGAAGAGGAAAAGAGAATTAATAAAGAACAATCTACATAATATGCATTTATACCAATGTGAAGTTCATTAAGTCTTTAAAACTATTATTAAATCTAGAGAGTATGGAAATAGATTAATTCATCTTTTCATTTTTAGAAGCTGAGTCATTTCAGAAAGAGATCACAATCTCAGTTTCTGTTCATGTATTAGTTCAGGAATAGATTTTTTTTTTCACATCAAATCATTTTGATACGAAGTGACTTTGGGCAAAATGCAGTTAAACCAATAATGGAACATTTTAAAAAACCAACCTAAAGCATGTAAAGAGAGTTTACTATAAAACGGTCAGCCAGACGAATGTTTTATATATGTATGCAGCCTCCTATTTATGATTTGTTATGACAGTTTCTGTCTCTCAGTATCAGTTGTCATCCAAAGAAGGTCTTTCTTGAGATGTGAAAGGAGAGACTATAAAAGCAATATTACTTTCTGTTTTGTCAGATACTGAAAAATGCACCCAGTGCCCAGATGATCAATATCCAACTGAGAACCGAATCCAATGTATCCCCAAAAGAATCACCTTCCTGTCCTATGAAGAAACTCTCAGCATCATCCTGATCTCCTTTGCCCTAATCTTGTTCTTAACCACAGGTTTTGTTTTAATCATATTCCTTCAATACCTAGAAACTCCCATTGTCAAAGCCAACAACCGGGACCTCTCCTACATCCTCCTGGTCTCCCTCTTGCTTTGCTTCTTATCCTCCTTGTTCTTTATTGGCCGACCAAGGAAAGCCTCCTGCCTTCTCCGACAAGCAGTCTTCAGCATTGTCTTCTCAATAGCTGTGTCTTCTGTGTTGGCCAAAACGATCACAGTGGTATTGGCCTTCCTGGCTTCAAAACCAGGAAATAGGATGAGAAGGTGGTTGGGGAAGAGCTTGGCCAACTCCATCATCCTTTCTGGTTCTGGTGTCCAGGTTGTCATCTGTGCCTTGTGGCTGGGAATTTCTCCCCCATTCCCTGACTCTGACCTCCACTCCCAGCCTGAGGAGATCATCCTTCAGTGCAATGAAGGCTCCATCACCATGTTTTATGTTGTCCTTGGTTATACGTATTTCCTAGCCACCATTTGCTTCACTGCAGCTTTTTTGGCAAGGAACCTGCCTGGGGCCTTCAATGAAGCTAAGCTGATCACTTTCAGCATGCTGGTTTTCTGCAGTGTCTGGGTCTCCTTCCTGCCCGCCTACCTGAGCACCAAAGGAAAGTCTATGGTAGTCGTGCAGATCTTCTCCATCTTGGCCTCCAGTGCTGGGCTGCTGGGCTGCATCTTCTTTCCCAAATGCTACATCCTCCTCCTGAGGCCAGATCTAAATACAAAGGAACACCTAATGACAAAAGTAGAGAAATAATAGTGAAACTGTTTTTAGGCTCATAACATTTCATTTTTCATTGCCGTTTTTAGTGTGCTTGTATTGTTCCTTTGCATAAATTGGACAATAAAGGTTATTAAAAAACAAATGAATAAAAATATGATGTGTTTAAGAGTTATCAAATTAAAATACAATATAATCTTCAAACAGTAAAATAACTGAATAATTCAAATTTTCATTCAGCCAGAGATGGACAGAGAAAGAAATAATAAAATAATAAAAAATAAGTTATTTTAACATGAGACACGTTTCCCAAAAGAAAGTGAGAAAGTATATGTTGCCTAAGATGAGATGAATATGGAAACCTAAATCTTTGAACACTTTCTCTCTTTCCCTTCCTCCCTCCCTCCCTCCCTCCTTCCCTCTCCTGTTCTTGAAAGTCAATGAGGGCAGTAAATCTAGATGTTAAGTACACCAGATGACACGCCACCCCTCCCCGGTTGCAACACTCTAAATGACTTACACTAGTTAAGTTGTGGCAGGTGTTAGATTCCATTATAGAATTTGGACCTCAGAATTTCAGGACTTGGTCTTGCGACATCACTGCTCTAACAGCCTTTCTGAACATAACTGAAAAGTAATGATCCAGCAGCAAAACAGCATCTGGAAAGCTCAATAGCTTCTGTGAATATTTGATCCAGGGAAGACAAAGAAAACATCTTCATACCAGATTGGTCTCTTATCCAAAGAAGCCACATGATACTCTAGTCCAAAAAACGGAAAGCTTTCGGCATTGTGCCATGTGAATGGGAAAAGAATATATGCTAGATAATGTCAGGAGGATATTCCTGAAATATCATTATCCTGACATAACTAGGGAGCTGCAGGGAGAGCCCACCTTCTCCAGGAGCGGCCTAGAGGAGAACTAGCTTTGCCACATCCAAAGCTGATTTTTGACCTTCCGGGCCCACCGGAAGTCGGGAAACGGGCCGTTTCCAGCCTCTGGAAGGCCTCGGGGGGGAGCCATTTTCACCCTCGTCAGGCTCCAAGAAAGCCTCTGGAGACTGAGGAGGGCAAAAAACAGACCTACCAGGCCCACCGTGCCATCGCATGCCAAAAGCGGGAGGAGCTCTGTGAAAGGTTGTCAGATTTCTTCAAAATTATTTAGAATGGTCTCAAACATGTCTCCTTAATAGCTCTATGGGAATCAGTATTCCCATTCCCCTGAGGTCTGTGTAGTACTGGAAAGAAATGGATATTTATCCTCTTTAGATATTACAAGTTCCTCATTCAAATGACACAAACTTTCCTCCCATAAGCTCCCCATCCTCATGGTCACCACTACTGACTGACAAAAGGTAAATATTAAACCTCCCCCAGGACTGAAGTCATGCCTTCCTCTCTACTGGATCCTTTGTGCCCTCCAGTAACCCCCAGAAGGCAGGATGAGTTCATGTGCTTTCCCAGGACAGTACAAAAGTTGCTGTATAAAAGTGACTATGTCAAATGAACTCCGCCTCTGCCTCAAGACATTTGCACTGTGCTGCTCTTTGGAAGACCCAGCCTGGATCTGAACCAGAATTTCCTTCTAATGATATATACCTAAAAGTGTCAAAAAAAAGCCTGGGATTCCCTGCCAAATCTGTTTTTCAAAGAGGAGCTTCCAATCATTAAAAGGATAAGTTGTAAGAGGATTTTTGTGCACTTTTTATGCAAAAAGACACTAAGGGTGTTTCAGTCACCAATAAAGGTACATTGCCCTATAATTCACATAGTCCTTGACTTACAACAGTTCACTTAATGACAGTTCAAAGTTACAATGGCACTGAAAAAAACTGATTTATGGCCATTTTTCACACTTATGACCTTTGCAGCATTTTAATATACATTTTGATTTATATTTGGATGCTTGACAACTGACTCACATTTATGACGGTTGCAGGTGTTGTAAATCTGAGGTCCAGGCTTTTGCTCTGTTCCAAGATGTCTCTCCCGCTTTCGTAGAGAGCTTTATTTTTATATTTTTACACAGGCAGATAAAAGACTGGACAGTAACAGTATTCTAATTGGATAGAAATTATTCACTCCCCTCTCAAGATGCCATCTTCTAAAGGTGAGATAATGCAGATCAAAGCCAAGAATTAGATCATAGAAGAAGGAAAGACCTACAGCGCATGAGCTAAGACAGTGTGCTGCTCAACGCTTGGCACCGTGACCTTTGACCTACCTCTACATTCCACTCTGTTTTGTTTTGTTTTTTTTTGTCAGGCCATCCTCTTACGAGGGGCCAGAAAAGGGGTTATTATCAGGAGAGGAATATCCCTGCAGTTCCTTATACAAGGCATAAACCTGACCTGAGGCAGCATGAGAGGGAGCTTGAGGCGAAATGCAGCAATACATATGTTACAAAAAGAGGGAAGACACTGAACAAAATAGCACCCACCAATTAAAATAGCACAAATGATGACTGAATAATTTAGGATGTTTCCTAATAAGCCTGTAAGTAACCAAGACCAAAGACTTTCCCACCAAGATCCTAAAGTATCAATTTTTACATCAGAGGCCAAATTATGTAAAATGTTAAGTTGATGCTGAATGTTCCATGACTCATCTGAAATGTTAAAGCAACAAAGTCCTTCAAAACTTTCACAACCCAAATGCTGGCATAGAATTAAAATGTCATCATGTAGATGATATACCAGGGTTTTGATCCCTGATGAAAGAGAGGGCGAGATGTTACAGACATGCCCCCCCCCTTGGATTTTTACACTCTCTTTTAAAATAACCAGGTTTTCCACAATCATAACACTTTCCTTCAGGTTTGCTGCCTGGTGATAAAGCAGCTGCTAACAAATTAGTTTTATAAGAAGATGTTCCTATATCTTGACATGGTTTAATCATATCTGCCAAATCAGGATCCTTTCCCAACCCAACAATTGTTCTTCGACATTCAGAAGTGGCGTTGTCTTCAGCCTTTTGCCTGATGTTAGAGAAGGCTTGTTGACGCTTACCAGAAACAGGCACTTTTCTGAAGGCTTGATAAGCACATTCAGAAGAAACTTGCTAAGTTGCAGCCGGTGGACAAACAGAACGCATATCAGCAATTTCTTCTATATCCCCTCCCCCTTTTTTCTAACTGTTTCTCTAAAATCTGCTTAATGAGGGTGTAACTAGCTCCCTCAGAAGGAGCTGATGGTTCAATTAAAGATGGTTTTGAGGTGACAATTTTAACTTTATAATCAGGTGGAGGGCTTGTAGCTAATTGTTGCCCTTCCAAAGCATCAGAGCCATATTTTTCCATTGCTTGATGACACTGATACATTGATGTAATATTTGCACTGAAGCCTTAGGTTCAAGATGTAAAGCTTGCCCTATCTTTATTATATCTCTCAAACAAGGCGTCCCCTGTTCCGGATAAAAGGGACAACATTTCCCTGTCTCAACTATCAGTTCCTTTTGTCAGTCTGTACATCATCATGCCAGACTTGTGCAATTCCCGCACATGAGCTTTCTGATATTGAGACATATTGCAACCAACACTCACCATAAGGGATCCACGTAGGATGAAGATAGGGGTCTATTTCCAGACAATGATGAGTTTCTTAGGTTGTTGCTTCCCACAAAGGGCTGTCCCTGCTTTGGGCCCCAGATGTTGTAAATCTGAGGCCCAGGCTTTTGCTCTGTTCCAAGATGTTTCTCCCACTTTCATAGAGAGCCTTATTTTTATACACCTTTACACAGGCAGATAAAAGACTGGACAGTAACAGTATTCTAATTGGATAGAAATTATTCACCCCCCTCTAAAGATGCCATCCTCTGAAGGTGAGATAATGCAGACCAAAGCCAAGAATTAGATCATAAAAGCAGGAAAGACCTACAGCGCATGAGCTAAGGCAGTGTGCTGCTCAAAGCTTGGCACCATGACCTTTGACCTACCTCTACATGCAGGGACCCGGGATCATGTGATCACCTTTTGCAACCTTCTGACAAGCAAAGTCAATGGGGAAATCAGATTCACTTAACAACTATGTTATTAATTTAATGACGGTAGTGATTCCCTTAACCAATGTGGCAAGAAAAGTCATAAAATGGGGAAAAGCTCACTTACCCAATTTCTCACTTAGCGACATACATTTTGGGCTCAACTGAGGCTATAAATTGGGGACTACCTGTAAAAGAAATCCATTTGCCCATCTCAGCAAATTCTGTCCATTTCACTAACCAATTCCTCCATGGTGGGCAGGGCTGAACTTTTCTGAATCTTCCATGTGGAATAGAAAAAAAATGGCTGCTGCCAGGATAGATTCAAAGTTGACAGTTCCTGCAGCCAACTGTCACTGACCGGGATCTTTGTTCTGTTGCTAGGCAACTAACCTAACGGAACATCTCTCCTGCTCTCCTTCATCCTGGGCCATGACAAGTCAACACTTCAAGAGCCAAAATAAACGGCAAAAAGGACAAAGGAAAACCTTGTCTTTTCCCCTTCTAGATACCACATGGTTTACTTAGATCGCCATTAATCATAATTGAAGTCTTCTGACATTAAATTCCTTCACGGCCCACTCTTTATTTAACAAACCAAGGAGCTTCAAAATGTAGAGGATTTCAGAGTCTTACATGAATAGGGAAAGACAACACAGAGAGTGTCAAGGGAAAAAAAACTTTCAATCCCTCCTTTAATTTTCTCCCTATATACTCAATGATACAAGCTATCACTTTCCTGTCTTTTAGATTTAAAAGAAAAGAAAATCACAAACAGGCCCTAGTCTTAACTTGAGGGTTCAAGGGACTGATTGCTTCCATAGCTCTGGGTGACCTTGCCCAGGAGACTTTGGAGGAGAGACCATCTTGGAGGACAGCAAAAGTTACCTGGTTGTTGATATATCTTCATCTATTTTCTGGATGAGTCCTGACAGGAAGGATAACCACTAGAGAACAGACCTCCAAGGGTGTATCTGTGATTTTTCACTAACATCCTTTTCTCCAGCTTCTCCTCTGCAGATGGGACCGTGAAGTAGTTTAGGATCCCAAGAGGAGAAGTTGTTTCTCAGTGTAATGATCACAGTTCTGGGTTTGGGACATCTGCTGCTGCTTCTCCAGTGACTACCTTTGATGTAAACATTAGATGAAGCAACATGCAAAGGTCTTGCATCAGGAAAGAATATATGCATCAGATCACAGGCTGTGTGGCACAAGTTTTGGGACAGGCAGGGACTGTGCTTTTGAATGTACATTTCTTTCCTTTCAAGACAAAAGTCAGTTTGTCTCTATCTAAATTGGTAAAGTACTTGGCATTTCCATTTTATAGAATGTTTTGAATTCTTCTAACTCTTCTTGTTCTTGTTTAGAAATAGGAAAGGGGTTGATTCATCCCTGTGAATTATGGACCTGTTCCTTCTGCTTCTGATGCTTCTGGTGTCCCAGCAAGTCTCTGGGAAGCTTACACTGAACTGCCCGCTGAGTTTGGAGCACCAGGATGAAAGCTATCCATGGAGCTATTATGGGCAAGGAGACCATCTCATTGGTGTAGTCCTCTGTGCCACAAGAATATCACGTGAAATGTTGCCTTTCAACACGGCTCCAAATAAAAAGTCTCACTCGTAAGTCATTAATGTGTGTGATGGAGTTGCATTCCCTCCATTTACACTTCTGTTCTTTTTATTTCCCTGACTCCTATGTTACAGGACCTTTCTAATTTCCTGAATCCTTTTGATTTCCATGGCTTCCCTCTTTTGTCTTCTTTTGTGGAAGAGACTCAAATCCAGAGATGGGGCAAGGAAAACACCTGAAAGAATTCCAGATTGTTTCCCCCTCACTGTCCAGTGCAGAGTTTATCACTTGAATGCTAGTTTTTCTTTAAAATAATGATGGAAAGAGCTGTAGTTTCCTCTTCCCAGCCCTTTTCCATACTTTTATAAGATATCATTGATAGCCATTCCCTGATTCTTATAGAAAGAGAGGATGAGTTCTTTGTAGAATCGCTTTTCCTGGGCATCTATGAAAAAGCCACTTCTTTTTATGGTTGTTCTATTCTAATGATTGAATTAGTTTGAAACTGAGTTATTGGAGAAATGAAAATCAGCACTACTACAAAATGATATATTTGTAACTTTTAACCCTGGTGGTGGTTAATCTCAATCCCATCTTCTGAACAATAATAAAACGGGTGACTATTATTTACCCATGGTTATGGGTCAGTATTAACATATGGATCCAAAGAGAAATAAATAAACTTGTAAATTATTTTACAGTAAGACATTTAATGATATGCATAGAATCATCCGCTTCATTATGACCATTGAAGAGATCAACAAGAATCAACGGTACCTCCAAAATGTCACCCTTGGCTACAACATCCAGGATGATTATTTTAATACAATTGGCACTTCAGAAGCTTTGCTGGACATGCTCTCTACCGGAGAAGCCAATGTTCCCAATTACAGCTGTGGAAGGAAGGACAACCTTTTGGCTCTTGTTGATGCAGCTGCCAGTGATATCTCCATCCAGATGTCAACCTTAGTAGGCACCTACAAAGTGGCCCAGGTTTGTGTGTGTGTTTGTGTTTCTCTATCTGGTCAAGTGAATGGAACAATAGATCCAACCATTTTGTTTATGTCAGTTAGTTTACTTTATTGCCATTACACTTCGTTCAATGAATCTAAATGCCATCTTCAGTGTACATCATTCATTAGAAAACTATAAAAATAAAACAAAAACACACATCCTTCACATTCTATACAATTGAATTGAAATCCACTGGTACTGCATTAGTATAACACTATACCGTAGAATTCAATATAGTTACTGCTCTGGGATAGAAGCTGTTTTTCAGCCTATTTGCCCTTGTTTTTATTATCCTGTACCATCTGCCAGATGGTTATAGTTCAGGAAAAAAAGGGGGTACCCAGGATGAGATGGATCTTTAACAATGCTTTGAACTTTCTTAAGGCAGGGGAGCTATAAAGCTCTTCCAAAGAGAGGAGAGAGCAACCAATGATGCTAACCCTCAGGAGCGCTGTCCTATCTGCCACTGTGTAATTGGCAAACCATACACAGGTGCAGTAAGTTAAAATACTCTCTATCTTTCTGTCGATGCAGAAAGTTGTAAGATATTATATAATGTTGTTATTTATCTTTTGTATTTTACCGATTGGTGTATGTGTAGGTTTCTTTTTCTTCTTTTTTCTTTTTTCTTTTTTCATCTTTTGTATTTTTCTATTATGTTTTTGGTTTTAAAAATGTAAAATATTCAATATTTTTTTTAAAAAAAAATACTCTCTATGGTGCAGCAGTAGAAGGTCACCACCAATTTTTCACCAATGCTTTTGACCAGTGCTGCAATATGAGCGCCCCAGGCCAGGTCCTCTTTTATGATAACACCTAAAACTTAAAACTGGCCTATATAAGCCAGAAGAAGGTAAAGGTGAAGAATTCTTTATTGGCCAAGTGTGATTCGACACACAAGGAATTTGTCTTGGTGCCTATGCTCTCGGCGTACATAAAAGAAAAGATACATTTGTCAGAATCATAAGGTACAACACTTAATGATAGTCATAGGGAACAATCAAAACCTATTAGGAAAAAGTCAATATAAATCTTAAGGATACCAGCAACAAGGTTACAGTCATACAGTCATAAGTGGGAGGAAATGGGTGATAGGAACGATGAGAAGATTAATAGTAATAGTAATGTAGACTTAGTAAATAGTTTGACAGTGTTGAGGGAATTATTTGGTTAGTAGAGTGATAGCATTTGGGGAAAAAACTGTTCTTGTGTTTAGTTGTTCTGGTGTGCAGTGCTCTATAGCGTCATGTTGAGGGTAGGAGTTGAAAACATTTGTGTCCAGGATGCGAGGGGTCTGTAAATATTTTCACAGTCTTCTTTTTGACTCGTGTAGTATACAGGTCCTCAATGGAAGGCAGGTTGGTAGCAATTGTTTTTTCTGCATTTCTAATTATCCTCTGAAGCAGGGTGGATGTGATTTAAATCGAGTCGATTTAAATCATGATTTAAATCATGATTTAAATCACTAGTAAAAAGACTTGATTTAAATCAACTCGATTTAAATCATAATTTTTAAAGAGCAACTGTTATCTCTGCTACTCCTTTGACCCGCTGTTGACTCACCGATAGTCACAGTGTTGCCAGAATATACAGCTTGTGCTATATAACTAAGCTCCATTTCATGCTGAATAAATTAAATTATTTATGTATCTTAAATAGAAAACTATCTTACGATAGATTTTTACCCCAAAAGTTTTTTATTAAAATAAATTCAATAAAAATAAAAAAAAATCTGATTTAAATAAAAAAATCTGATTTAAATCAAAAAAATTCATTTTTTTTAAAAAATCATTGATTTTTATCCACCCTGCTCTGAAGTCTGTGTCTTGTTGGGTTGCAGAACCAAACCATACACTTACAGAGGTGCAGATGACAGACTTAATGGTGTTAAGGACGAAGTTATTGTTTCCACACCACAAAAGCAATTATGGAATTCAAGAACTGCTTCTCACTGTGACCATTTCAGTTGTCATTGCTATGGCTTAGGATCCAGAGTGGGGAAGGATCAAAGCAGTCATATCCTCTCATGACACCATCCCCATTGCTTTGGGGCTTTCTGCTACATGCTTGTGAAACTGAGCAGAGGCTCTGGGTCTAATCAGATTGTCTTCTGTGCAAAAGGAAAATAAAGCAATGATAGAAAGCTCTTGTTTTGTAGATTATCTTAGCCAAAATAATAATATTTTTCAATACTAACATATCCCAGATTCATGAAAAGAATCCCAGTGGATTATCTTTCTTACAGTCTACATAGAAACTCATAGAGACCACTAGCATTAACTAACCACTTTATTAAAGCACTGCAAACATGTTAGCCGAAATGGTAAGAGCCACTGTGGTGCAGTGGTTAGAATGCAGTACTGCAGGCTATTTCTGCTGACTGCTGGCTGACTGCAATTTGGCAGTTTGATTCTCACCAGTCTCAAGGTTGACTCAGCCTTCCATCCCTCTGAGGTGGGAAAATGGAGGACCAGATTGTTGAGGCCATAGGCTCTGACTCTGTAAACCAATTAGAGAGAGCTGTAAAGCACAGTGAAGCAGTGCTATTGCTATTGGTTCCCCCCACCACCACCACCAACCAATTGGTGATATAATCTATCAGAGAAGTCTCAAAGAGCAAGTCCTCCACCAGAACTTCCTATTGTCTGGATTATTCAAGAAGTATCCCAGTTGGTGGTATTTACTCCAGAAAATTTCAGCACCTGGAATAATGGTTAAATAAGTACATTATAACTCACAGACTTCTAATTGTGAAGTTCCAGAGATAAAAGGGGTAACATATCTATTATCTGAATGTTAATAGTTTATTTATTGATTTTATTTATTTAGTTTGTCAAACATATACAACATAACAGGAATAAGTATAAACATTGATATTAATAGAGGAAATGGGAACGAATTAATGGGGACAGTAGGACAGGGAGGGAAGGCACACTGGTGCACTTATGCACACCCCTTACAGACCTCTTAGGAATGGGGTGAGGTCAACAATAGACAGTTTAAGATTAAAGTTATGGGGGGTTGAGGATGTAACAACAGAGTCAGGTAGTGCATTCCAGGCATTGACCACTCTGTTGCTGAAGTCGTATTTTCTGCAATCGAGTTTAAAGCGGTTTCCTTGAGTTTGTATCTCTTGTGTGCTCGTGTATTGTTGTGGTTGAAGCTGAAGTAGTCATTGACAGATAGGATGTTGTAGCGAATAATTCTGTGTACTAAGCGGTGTAGTTCTAATATATGAAATATACTATATTTATATTAATATGTATATGAAAGAGAGAGATCAGTGTCTTAAACCGCACATTAGATGAAGGACCTTTTGGAATCTATACATTAAAACAATATATTTCCTTTGCAATCAGAATTTTAAAACATACTTATAATATGAAACTGTACTTGAACAAAAGAGTTCAGCTGGTATCCCCATATGTGGATCTCATGGTGGTAGCTTTTAGTGATGATACAAAAATATTATTTGTAGTCTTTATTCTTTTTTATTCTTATTAATTTGTTTTTATTCCATTTTATATAAGGTTCTGCTTATTATATTATGAATCTTCATATGGGGTCTAATAACTGATCAACCACATACTATTTCTATATGTTCCTAAGAACCAAGTTGGATGGATTAAAAGCTAACATTTGGACTTGATCTGACTCCAAATATAACACAGAATTCTTCATAACTTTTTTTCAGACCAGTTATGAAATTGTTTCGGAGGCTCTGAATGATAAAAGTCAATTCCCCTTTTTCCACCCGATGTTCCCCAAAGAAGGGATCCAATATCCCGGCATTGTCCAACTGCTCCTCCATTTCAGATGGACCTTGATTGGTCTCTTTGCTTCAGACACAGAAAATGGAGAGAATTTCATGAGGATTTTTCCTCGCATGCTTGTCAGGAATGGGATTTGTGTTGTTATATCACAACGATTCTCAATGACTCAAAGTATGGCACCTCTCACGGATGCTGTCTCTAAGTGGAGACAAGTCAATGTCTTTCTTCACTCCATTGAACATGTTCCTCTTTTGGAGAGAATTATTCCTTTCCATTTAACATTTAAGCAATTGTCTGGACCTATAGAAGGCAAAGTCTGGATCCTCACAGTCTTCGAGACATATCACATGCGAAGGAACAGAGATTTCAAGTACATTCATAGTGTATGGAATTTTTCTTTACAGGAAAAAAAAGTGACAAAAGATAATGCTGTATCCAACATCCACTATCTAGAACGCCAATATCGAGATCGGTCTTTGCACTGTTCTTTTTCAAAGCATGCCTTTTCTGTCAAAGGTCGTAAAAGATGCACCCAGAAACCACCAGTGGAGAACAAAATAAGTGGTATGCACATTGTAACTAAAGTAAAAGTTTTCAATATCGTGAGGACTCTGTCCCACGTCTTGAATGCTGCATATGCCTCCAGATCCAGGAGGAGAAGAAAGAAGGACAAAGAGAAGTTGAGGGCTTCAAGGCTGCAGCCATGGCAGGTATTGTATCTCAACAAGGATCTTGGTTCCTTTGGAGAAGGACCTCAAAGGAATAGGGAAGGGAATCGTCTCAACCTCCTTGTGCCACAAAAGATTGGCAGTTTTGGCCACTCTAATTCCTTGGAGCATAAAGTTCCCAACAGCAAAAATTATGGCAAATATACCTTGATATTACAGACTGAAAATTTTGTCATTTACTCTATAATCTTCCCCATAATTTGCCAATTGTGTTAAGTATATTTTCTCAATAATATTTGGTCATTCTGTGATTGACAAATTTTACTGAATGTTTTTTGTTGTTGTTGTTCACTTGTGGAATTAACACCTGTTCTAATTAAGCATATTTGCAACTGGTAAAATTGTAAAGATTCAAATGTGAATAGACCATGTAGGACAGCGGTGTCAAACTGGCAGGCCGTGGGCCAGATGCATCATGTACAGGCCACACACACACACCAGCTCAGCAAAGGCAAAAAATGTCATGATACGTCACGATACGTCATTTGACGCGATCGAGTTTGACATCCCCGATATAGGATAAGAAACCAAGGTTTCTGCTTTTAAAATTCATGGATTTTTCCATTCTAGTTTCACCCCTTTATGAAGAAGAGTGTATTTTGTAATCTTTCCATTTGGAAACTGTACGTGGATCAAAATGGAGATATAGCTGCAGATCTGGACATTGTGAGTGGGTTTCACTCTGACTATGACCTCATCAAAGGCAAACTGGGGAGTTTTGAAAAAAAGGGACTTTTTGTCAACCAAGATGTTCTTCAACAGCTAACGTTGCTCAACCAGGTGAGAAAAATATCGGTGTCTTTTCTCTATTGCCCAAAGATGTAACATCTTTTTCAAGCAAGCTAAGCATAGTCACCATGGCTTAATGGTCAAATGAAGTGACATGAAACTGATGAGAGGGATTATTGGCATCGGTTTGCCGAACCGGTAGTAATTACGCGTTCTTCACCCCACCCATGCCCGGCCAGTGGCCACTCACCACTTTGCATCCAGGCATTAGGCACTGTACACATCTACTCATCATCATCATCATCAGCTACCTCCAGATCTGGGAGCTGCTGACTCTCCCTCTTAGAACCAAAGGACAGCCCAGGCTCTGCCTCTGTCTATCTCTCTCTCTGCCAGCTCCATTTCTTCTTCCCACTTGTAGCCCTCAGGCTGCCTTGATGCTAACCCTGACTCCCACACCTTCGCCTCCTCTGATTTGGCTGCTGGAGGGGCTGGCGGCCAACAGGCCACAACAGTAATGTTTTAAGCATCCCAGAGTTATCCAGAGTGATGCATTCATTTCTTTCACCACACATGGATAGAGCAACCTGCCTTCTCCTCCTAAAAATGGGGTCCAAGGCTTTCAATTCACATGAAATCATAATGATGGTTGTGATATGAGATAATGCCCTTACCCAGAAGAATTGAAATAAGACTTTGATCCAAAGAAAACTTTTTCCTCATATCAGAAATCATGAGTGACAATTTGAAAGGATATGCTACCAGTACTTAGATTTGGCCTTTGGCTTGTAAGAAGGCACTTCCATCTGAAAAGTTCTTGAATGCAATTTTTATCTTGATTGTTGGATACTAAAGTCTTTCTGGGCAAAAAAAGAAGGATCCAAATTTCATTAATAATAAACATGGGTTAGTCTTTCCATGCCAGTTGGTGTCACCAAACTGAAGTTATTAAACAAAAAGGGTTGGTTTTTGGGGGGGATCTCTAGCTGAGCCTTAGAGTCAGGCTCATTTCCCACTTCCGGCAGCAAAAGATACTTGACTTACCCTGTTTGAGGCTCACCTTCTCATGATCTCATGTCCATCTTACACAGGGGTGGGCTTCAAAAATTTTAGCAAGAGTTTCTCTACCCGGTTGCTGGGTGGGTGTGATCATGGTGATCGTGGTCTAGTCAGCCTTCTGAACCAAAGCAGGGGGGGCTTTTTTCAATCATCCAGGAGGGCGAAAATGGCCTCCCCAAGCTCCAGAGGCACATTTTTCACCCTCCCCGAGCCTTCGTGCATGCCCTGCACTTACCTGCATCCCAAACAGGCTGCATGGTGACTCCTGAGAATGGCGGAATGGGGTGGGTGGGGCCAGCCAGGAATGGGATTTGGGGGTTCTCTGAACTTCACAGAATCTTAGCTTGAGGTTCTCCCGAATTCCTGTGAATCTCCAGCAGCCCACCCCTGATCTGATCACAACAGTTCCAGAAATTAGGCAGTTTTAGTCTTATTTCACTAGTATGGCATCCGCATGACTTGAAGAAATAAATTTATTTATTTATTTATTTATTTATTAAATTTATATACCGCCCTATTCCTAAGGGACTCAGGGCGGTGAACAGCGAACGATAAAAATACATGTAATACAAACGTTAATAATAAAAAACCAATTAAAATATACTAAACATTCTGGTCCTAGATAATTCAAGACATCCCAGTTTAAAATAAAATCAAAAAGCAATATAAAGGGAAAGTTAGGCCAGGCCGGCCTGCTGAAACAGGAATGTTTTGAGGGCACGGCGGAAAGTGCGCAGATCCGGAATCTTTTGTATCTCTGGGGGGAGCTCGTTCCAGATGGTGGGTGCCCTCACAGAAAAGGCTCTCCCCCTGGAGGCCGCCAGTCGACATTGTTTGGCTGACGGCACCCTGAGAAGCCCCTCTCTATGGGAGCGTACTGGGCGGTGAGAGGCTATTGGTGGCAGAAGGCGGTCTTGTAAGTACCCCGGTCCTAAGACATGGAGTGCTCTAAAGGTGGTAACTAAGACCTTGAAGCGCACCCGGAAGACCACAGGGAGCCAGTGCAGCTCGCGCAGGAGGGGAGCCACATGGGAGCGCCATGCTGCTCCCATAACTACCTGCGCAGCTGCATTCTGGACCAGCTGGAGCCTCCGGGTGCTCCTCAAGGGGAGCCCCATGTAGAGAGCATTACAGTAGTCCAGGCGTGAAGTGACGAGGGCATGAGTGACCGTTTTTAACGAGTCCCGATCCAGAAAGGGATGCAACTGGCGAATCAGGCGAACCTGATAAAAAGACCTCCCGGCCACAGCCGTCAAGTGTTCTTCTAAAGACAGCCGTGAGTCCAAGAGGACGCCTAAATTGCGAACCCTCTCCGTGGGGGGCAATGACTCATCCCCAATAGTCAGTGATGGCACCAATTGACTATATCGGGACGTCAGAAACCACAGCCACTCGGTCTTGGATGGGTTGAGCCTGAGTCTGTTCCTCCCCATCCAGATCCGTACAGCCTCCAGGCACTGGGACATCACTTTAAGGGCATCATTGGGGTGGTCCGGGGTGGAGATGTATAGCTGAGTATCATCAGCATACTGATGATACTTCACCCCAAAACCACGGATGATCTCACCCAGCGGCTTCACATAAATGTTGAACAGAAGGGGTGAGAGAACCGACCCCTGTGGCACCCCACATACAAGGGGCCTCGGGGTCGACCTCTGCCCCCCTGTCAACACAGACTGCGACCGATCAGAGAGAAAGGAGGAGAACCACCGCAACACGGTGCCCCCCACCCCTAACTCTTCCAACCGGTGCAGCATGATACCATGGTCCATGGTATCAAAAGCTGCTGAGAGGTCTAATAGGACCAGGACAGAGGAGCAACCCCTGTCCTGGGCCCTCCAGAGATCATCTACCAATGCGACCAATGCCGTTTCCGTGCTGTATCCAGGCCTGAAGCCTGACTGGAATGGATCTAGATAAGCCGATTCATCCAAGTACTGAGGAAGCTGTCGCGCTACCACATTCTCAACAACCTTCGCAACGAAGTGAAGGTTGGAGACTGGACTGTAATTAGCCAACAATGCTGGGTCCAGGGAAGGCTTCTTGAGGAGAGGCCTCACCACCGCCTCCTTCAAGGCGGCAGGGAAGACACCCTCTCTCAAGGAAGCATTTATAATTCCCTGGAGCCAACCTCGTGTAACCTCCCGAGAGGCCAGCACCAGCCAGGAGGGACATGGGTCCAATAAACATGTGGCCGCGCTTAGTCTGCCCAGTATCTTGTCCACGTTTTCCGGAGTCACAGAATCAAACTCTTCCCAGGTAATATTCTCAAGACTTGCCTCCATCCTCCCTCCCGAATCTACCCAGTCAGAGTCCAAATTTTCCCGAATCTGAGCGATTTTGTCATACAGATATTGTACAAAGTCCTCGGCTCTACCCGCCAAGGGGTCCTCCCGCGCTTCCTGGTGGAGCAGGGAGCGGGTCACCCTAAACAGGGTGGCCAGGTGATTATCTGATGACGCAATAAGAGCGGAAAAATAGTTACACTTTGCCGCTTTTATTGCCACCAGGTAGGTCTTAATATGAGACCTTACCAGTGTTCGGTCAGATTCAGAACGGCTGGCCCTCCAACTGCTCTCCAGGCGTCTTTTCCGGCGTTTCATCTCCCTCAGCTCCTCGGTGAACCAGGGAGCCAGGTGAGATCGACGCCGGGTCAGAGGCCGCAAAGGCACGACCCGGTCCAAAGCTCCAGCGGCTGCCCTATCCCAGACAGCCACTAGGTCTTCAGTCGAGCCGTGTGCCAGAGCCTCAGGAAATGGCCCAAGCTCCGTCTGGAACCTATCCGGGTCCATCAGGTGCCTGGGGCAGAACCACCTCATCGGTTCCGCCTCCCTGCGGTGGGGTGTGGCGGTTCGAAGGTCAAAGCAAAGGAGGGAGTGATCTGACCATGACAAGGGCTTGGTCGCTATATCCCCTATCTCGAGACCACTCAGCCACTGACCAGAGACAAAAACCAGGTCCAGCGTGTTTCCCCCCGTGTGAGTAGGGCCATGAACTAATTGGGTCAGGTCCATGGCCGTCATGGAAGCCATGAACTCCTGAGCCACCTCAGACGCCTCACCGACGGATGGCAGGTTGAAGTCCCCCATGACCATAAGTCTAGGGGTATCAATCGCCACTGCGGCTATAACGTTGAGTAGTTCAGGCAAGGCCGCTGCCACGTGGCAGGAAGCCAGGTACGTAACCAGCAGGCCCATCTGCACCTGCAAATATATAAAGAAACAAATAACATTCTCTTTAAGGTTGACTGCCCTTATTTGAAAGCACCTTTTGCTTTGTAGCTTTAGTAGAAAACTGTTTTGAACCCCTTTCAAAGGGCTTTACAATGTTTTATATAGTCCTTAAGAATTTTTTGCAGCTCCTACTACTGACTTTTTTAATCACAGACTTACTTTTTGGGAAACAATTTAAGGGAGTAAAAATATTAATACATTTATAAATTTAATTTAAATTTAGAGTCAATCAATTTATTACAGTCTTAGACCCCAGAACAAATAAAAACGCTCAGTAAATATAGGTATATATATGTTTGCGATGAATCCCCAGTGCTGCTGCGCAGAATCTGGCCATATGCACTGTAGTTATGTTCATCCTTAAGCAGCCACTGAAGATAGGTAGAATCGGAACAGCCAGGATACCTACCAGTAGCAGGTATTGGCAGAATATGCTTTTTCCTAATCTCTGTATAAAAGGAACATCTAAGGAGCATGGGACTCACAGTCCTGAGTTGCAGGAACAGAGTTTTCAATCAATGATATCCTTTTATATTTGACGTACAGGTCAGCCGATGGAAGGACATGGCACTGTGGTAGCAAAAATGCTAAATTTAACGATGAAAATTTACAATTAAATTAAATACAATTTAATATGAATAGATAATTGTACTTGAATGTCATAGATACCTGAAGAATGGAGGAATGCATGTTCAGATGGCTATAAGGAGGAAGCCACTGGTTGTCATTTGTTGCTTAAATATTTTTTCATTCAATCCTTCCAGATTTTATTAAGTAGAAAAGTACGTTATTGCAAAGGGATCTGCAGAAGGAAAGGTGAGGAAGTAAATGAAGAAACCACAAGTTCTTATGGTCATTTGGAATTAATTAGAAATTTTATATTCATCTAAGTGACGCCTATAGAGTACTGGACTAATGTTTCCATTGACCTCTATTCTCTACGGGTGGTCAGTCCTGACATGTTTTCTTTGGCATTCCTTATTTGCCTGCTTTAGAGTTTCCCTCAATCCAAATGTGTGGAAAATTGTCATCCTGGATTTGTCAAGCAGGCTCGAGAAGGAGAGCCGGTTTGCTGCTACGACTGCATTCCTTGTCCAAAGGGGACCATCTCCACTCAGGAAGGTGGGTAACTCTGGAGGAAGAATGCTGGATTCATCCAGAGCATCTAGATCGAGATGCATGTTGAAGACACATCTAATTTTGAATACGTTGCTGGTTTTTTTTTTTTCCATAATGGGAGTAATAAGAAAAAGATCTGAAGGATAAGATTGGAAGGAGGACATAGTGGATTCTGCAAGGTTAGTTATACCAGGGTAAATCTCTCTTCTACTTGTCAGTTTAGAAGTGTCCTGTCATCTTATCTTTACGAGGAACATCTGAATTCTTTGAAATGTGAGAAATGGTTTCAGATCAGTGGTGGGATTTTACTGGTTCGGACCAGTTCGGGAGGACCGTTAGCTCCAAATTTCAGCCATGAGCGAACCGGTTCTATCTTTCTTTCAAGTGGGCCCACCTGCCTGCCCCTGCTTTATACTCACCTATCTTTAAGCTTCTGAAGACCAGCAGATCAGGGTGGCAGAGTGGACTGCCGTTCCTCAGCTGTTTTGCTTGCTCTAAGCAACATGGAAGTTCACTTTTCTACAAACTGCACACACGCAAGCAGCAAACCAGTCTAAGCCTGTTCATCTTATAGTTTCAATTTTATTGGATATTAAACAGTGAAATACAATATAATATAATAGAAAGGAAGAGGAAAAGAGAATTAATAAAGAACAATCTACATAATATGCATTTATACCAATATGAAGTTCATTAAGTCTTTAAATGTATTATTAAATCTAGAGAGCATGGAAAGAGATTAATTCATCTTTTCATTTTTAGAAACTGAAGTCATTGCAGAAAGAGGTCACAATCTCAGTTTCTGTTTTTCTATTAATCAATCTTTTTCTAATATGAAATTATTTTGATATGAAGTGAATTTGGGTAGAATGCAGTTAAACCAACATTGAAACATTTTACAAAACCAACCTAAAGCATGAAACAGAAATAATAAAGATTGAAAGAGGCAACATGTGATGCAACCAGCACATGGGATCCCTCTCATTAGGGGGTCCCCGATTTTGTTGAAAGAATCACATATTAAGGAATTTCTAGAGGGGCTCAAGGATTGCAGCTAATTTCACACTTGGGGGACTTAATGCCTATTTCCAGCAATGGGCCCATCATCTTCTGTCTTGAAGGAGGCCCTCTTCTTAAGACGATCACGGTGGACCTCAGCATGAAAGACCAGAGCAGATATAGACTAGACTAGACTAGACTAGACTAGACTAGACTAGACTAGACTAGACTAGACTAGACTAGACTAGACTAGAATAGAATAGAATAGAATAGAAAAGAATAGAATAGAATAGAATAGAATAGAATAGAATAGAATAGAATAGAATAGAATAGAATAGAATAGAATAGAATAGAATAGAATAGAACAACAGAGTTGGGATCTTGGAGCAGTGGTGAAATTCAAATTTTTTACCACCGGTTCTGTGGGCATGGCTTGGTAGGCATGGTGTGGTGTGGCTTTGTTGGTGTGGCAAGGGAAGGATATTGCAAAATCTCTAGATTTATTGACTAGACTAGACTAGACTAGACTAGACTAGAATAGACTAGAATAGAATAGAATAGAATAGAATAGAATAGAATAGAATAGAATAGAATAGAATAGAATAGAATAGAATAGAATAGAATAATAGAGTTGGAAGGGACCTTGGAGCAGTGGTGAAATTCAAAATTTCTACTACCGGTTCTGTGGGCGTGGCTTGGTGGGTGTGGTGTGGTGTGGCTTTGTTGGTATGGCAGGGGAAGGATATTGCAAAATCTCCATTCCCACCCCACTCTGGGGCCACCCAGAGGTGGTATTTATCAGTTCTTCGAACTACTCAAAATTTCTGCTACCGGTTCTCCAGAACCTGTTAGAAACTGCTGGATTTCACCCCTGCCTTTGAGGTTTTCTAGTCCAACCCCCTGCTTAGGCAGGAAACCATACACCACTTCAGAGAAGTGCTTATCCAACATCTTCTTAAAAATTTCCAGTGTTGGAGCATTCACAACTTCTGGAGGCAAGTTGTTCCACTGATTAAATGTTCTAAATGTCAGGAAATTTCTCCTTAGCTCTAATTGCTTCTCTCCTTGATTAGTTTCCACCCATTGCTTCTTATTCTACCCTTAGGTGCTTTGGAGAAGAGTTTTACTCCCTCTTGATAGACATGCCCCAGATTGGTTCCCTAAAATATTGCCACCTCATTCGTCTTTTGAAGCCTGCTTTTTCTGTTGGAACTCCTGCCCTATTGCACACCTTCTTCCTAGAATTCCAACAGTCACCCAGCCTTCTGAAATTCTGGAAAAGTTCCTCTCCCAAATTTTGAGATAAAGTGCAGGATAAGAATGTGGCGTGTTGCATCAGTTAAGGTGGTTGTGACTTGTATTTCTCTTTTGGATCTTATTTCTTCTTGTTATATATATTGGGGCGGGGTTTGCTGGCTCTAAGCTGCCCAAAGTTTGCTTTAAAAAGGTCAGCCAGACAAATGTTTTATATATATATATGCAGCCTCCTATTTACGATTTGCTATGGAGTTCCTGTCTCTCAGTATCAGTTGTCATCCAAAGGTCTTTCTTGAGATGTGAAAGGAGAGACTATAAAAGTAATATTGCTTTCTGTTTTGTCAGATACTGAAAAATGCACCCAGTGCTCAGATGATCAATATCCAACTGAGAACCGAATCCAATGTATCCCCAAAAGAATAACCTTCCTGTCCTATGAAGAAACTCTCAGCATCATCCTGATCTCCTTTGCCCTAATCTTGTTCTTAACCACAGGTTTTGTTTTAATCATATTCCTTCAATACCTGGAAACTCCCATTGTCAAAGCCAACAATCGGGACCTCTCCTACATCCTCCTGGTCTCCCTCCTGCTCTGCTTCTTATCCTCCTTGTTCTTTATTGGCCGACCAAGGAAAGCCTCCTGCCTTCTCCGACAAGCAGTCTTCAGCATTGTCTTCTCAATAGCTGTGTCTTCTGTGTTGGCCAAAACGATCACAGTGGTATTGGCCTTCCTGGCTTCAAAACCAGGAAATAGGATGAGAAGGTGGTTGGGGAAGAGTTTGGCCAACTCCATCATCCTTTCTGGTTCTGGTGTCCAGGTTGTCATCTGTGCCTTGTGGCTGGGAATTTCTCCCCCATTCCCTGACTCTGACCTCCACTCCCAGCCTGAGGAGATCATCCTTCAGTGCAATGAAGGCTCCATCACCATGTTTTATGTTGTCCTTGGTTATACGTATTTCCTAGCCACCATTTGCTTCACTGTGGCTTTTTTGGCAAGGAACCTGCCTGGGGCCTTCAATGAAGCTAAGCTGATCACTTTCAGCATGCTGGTTTTCTGCAGTGTCTGGGTCTCCTTCCTGCCCGCCTACCTGAGCACCAAAGGAAAGTCTATGGTAGTCGTGCAGATCTTCTCCATTTTGGCCTCCAGTGCTGGGCTGCTGGGCTGCATCTTCTTTCCCAAATGCTACATCATCCTCCTGAGGCCAGATCTAAATACAAAGGAACACCTAATGACAAAAGTAGGGAAATAATAGTGAAACTGTTTTTAGGCTCATAACGTTTTATTTTTCATTGCCGTTTTTGGTGTGCTTGTATACTTCCTTTGCATAAATTGGACAATTAAGGTTATTAAAACACAAATGAATAGAAATATGAAGTGTTTAAGAGTTATCAAATTATAATACAATATAAACTTCAAACAGTAAAATAACTGAATAATTCAAATTTTCATTCAGCCAGAGATGGACAGGGTAAGAAATAATAAAATAATAAAAAAAATAAGTTATTTTAATATGAGACACATTTCCCAAAAGAAAGTGGGAAAGTGTATGTTATTATTTATTATTATTATTATTGCAATTTATATGCCGCCATTCTCCCGAGGGACTCAGGGGTGCTTATAAAAACAATATCCAATACAAATCACAATAAAATTAAAATCAACAACTCAATTAAACAATTTAAAATTATAACAATGTACACACCCATAACGGATTAGTTAAGTTGATGGAAGAGCCATATTTTCAACTCACAATGGAAGGAAAGGAGGTCGGGGGCTGTCCTGAGCTCGGTGGGCAAATAATTCCAGAGGGTCGGGGCTCCCACAGAGAACGCTCTCCTCCTGGGGACCATCAGCCGACATTGTTTGGCTGAAGGCACCCTGAGGTGGCCCACTCTGTGAGAGTGCACAGGACGGTGGGAGAGCAGCTGGAGATGGTCCTGCAAGTACCCCTGGCCTAAGCCATGAAGGGCTTTATAGGTAAGCAACAGCACCTTGAAACGAATCCAGAATGCCATCAGCAGCCAGTGCAGCTCGCGCAGGAGAGGTGTTACACGGGAATATCGAGAAGCCCCCATAATTACCCGCGCGGCCACATTCTGGACTAGCTGGAGCCTCCGGATGCATCCCAAGGGCAGCCCCATGTAGAGGGTGTTACAGTAGTCCAACCTAGAGGTAATGAGGGCGTGAGTGACCATGGCGAGGGCATCCCGGTCTAGAAAAGGGCGCAACTGGCACACAAGACGCATCTGTGCAAAGGCCCCCCTGGTTACGGCCGTCAGATGGTCATCCAAGGACAGCCAAGAATCTAGGAAGACGCCCAGATTGTGAACCCTATTGGAGGGAGTAAGAGTCTCCCCCCTGATCATTAAAGTTGGAACCTCCAGACCCGAGATGCCGGCATCCACAGCCACTCAGTCTTGGAAGGGTTGAGTCTGAGTCTATTTCTCCCCATCCAAATCCGCACCGCTTCCAGGCAATGGGACATCACGGAAAGGGCATCACTAGGGTGGTCAGGGGTGGAGATGTAAAGCTGGGTATCATCAGCATGTTGATGATACCTCACCCCAAAACCGCGAATGATCTCACCCAGTAGTTTCATATAGATGTTAAAGAGCGGGGGAGAGAGAACCGATCCCTGAGGCACCCCACAAGTGAGGGGCCTCCAGGATGATCCCTGACCCCCCGCCCAAACAGACTGCAAGCCACCAGAGAGGTAGGAGGAGAACCACCACAAAACAGTGCCTCCTATCCCTATCTCTCTGAGCCGCTGCAGCAGGATACCATGGTTGATGGTATCGAAAGCCGCTGAGAGGTCAAGAAGGACCAGGATGGAGGAGCAACCCCCATCCCTGGCCCACCAGAGATCATTTACTAGAGCGACCAATGCTGTTTCCGTGCTGTGACCACGTCTGAAACAAGATTGGTAAGGATCGAAGTAGTCTGTTTCCTCCAGGAATTGAGGGAATTCCTGTGCCACCATGGACTCAACAACCTTCGCTAAAAAGCGAAGGTTGGAGACTGGACGATAGTTGTTAAGAACATCAGGGTCCAGGCTAGGCTTCCTAAGGAGGGGCCGAACCACTGCCTCTTTGAGTGCAGCGGGGAAGACCCCTTCCCTTAACGAAGCATTGGCAACAGCCTGGATCCAGTCTCCAGTCACCTCTCTGGATGCAGAAACAAGCCAGGAGGGACAAGGGTCCAATAAACACATGGAGGACCCTAGCCGACCCATAATCCTGTCCACATCATCCAACGAAACAGGCTCAAACTCAACCCAGATGTTCCCATCAAGACTATCCCCCATCTCCTCAACGGACTCTGTCCAGTCAGAGTCCAACCTGGACCGGATCTCAGCGGTTTTATCTTGCAGAAACTGTGCAAAGTCCTCAGCTTGGCCCTGCAAGGGGTCCTCCCTCGCTCCCTGGTTAGGGAGAGAGCGGGTCACTCTAAACAGGGCGACTGGGCAGTTTTCTGCAGATGCAATGAGAGTGGCAAAATAATTACGTTTTGCCGCTTCCATCGCCACAAAATAAGACTTAATATAGGTTCTTAGTTGTGTTCAGTCAGATTCAGATCAGGAGGACCTCCAACCACCCTCCAGGCATCTTTTCCGACATATGTTGCCTAAGATGGGATGAATATGGAAACCTAAATCTTTGAACACTTTTTCTCCTTCCCTTCCTCCCTCCCTCCCTCCTTCCCTCTCCTGTTCTTGAAAGTCGATGAGGGCAGTAAATCTAGATGTTAAGTACACCAAATGTCACCCCACCCCTCCCCGGTTGCAACACTCTAAATGACCTACACTAGTTATGTTGCACATGTTAGATTCCATTATAGAATTTGGACCTCAGAATTTCAGGACTTGGTCTTGAGACATCACTGCTCTAACAGCCTTTCTGAACATAACTGAAAAGTAATGATCCAGCAGCAAAACAGCATCTGGAAAGCTCAATAGCTTCTGTGAATATGTGATCCAGGGAAGACAAAGGAAACATCCTCATACCAGATTGGTCTTTTATCCAAAGAAGCCACATGATACTCTAGTCCCCAAAATGAAAAGCTTTCGGCATTGTGCCATGAGAATGGGAAAAGAATATATGCTAGATAATGTCAGGAGGATATTCCTGAAATGTCACTATGCTGACTTAACTAGGGACCTGCAGGGAGAGTCCACCTTCTCCAGGAGCTGCCTAGAGGAGAACTAGCTTTGCCACATCCAATGGTGGGGAAAGGGTTGGAGCTGAAGCCCAAATAGGGGAGCAAGGAGACTTAGTGATCCATTCCCTGAACTTCCCTCCCTTCCTTGAAGAAACAGTACTAAGGAGAAGGGGAAAGGGGGAAAGATCCCTCCCTCCTTCACTTAACTCATAGCCGGAGTCGTATTGGGAATAAAGTTTGCGTTTGAAATGGATCATGCGAGACATCTCTCTGTGTTGATTTTCTGTCTAGGGTTTCCTTTATTGCCTCCATTCAAAATGCCTTCAGATTTGGGATAAAGTGACCAAACAAATCAGACAGGCTTGACTAGATCCCAGGGCCATGGATTCAATTGAAGAAAAGGGTCTGTTGCCTGAAATCTGAAATTTTTTAAACTTTAGGCCAGGATTTGTGCTTGAACTAAGTTCTTTGCCTAGTTCATTCCTCAGTGAGAAGCATCTCCTTCTGGTTTCTTCTGCTGAGAGACCAGTTACATCAAAAAATATGTTCTTAAACTGTTGGTAATTCTTTTGTTCAGTATGCAGATTAGCCAATATTTGACTTAAGCAACAATTTAAGAGAGGACAGATATGAGCGATGTCCTGGACTCTGAGAAAGGTTGGCAGATTTCTTCAAAATTATTTAGGACGGTCTTAAACGCGTCTCCTTAATAGCTCCATGGGAATCAGTATTCCCATTCCCCTGAGGTCTGTGTAGTACTGGAAGGAAATGGATATTTATCCTCTTTAGATATTTCAAGTTCCTCATTCAAATGTCACCAAATTTCCTCACATAAACTCCCAATCCTCGAGGTCACCACTACTGACTGACCAAAGGTACTTTTGGACTTTTAATGCAAAAAGACACTAAGAGTATTTCAGTCACCAATAAAGGTACATTGCCCTATAATTCACGTAGTCCTTGACTTACAACAGTTCACTTAATGACAATTCAAAGTTACAAAGGCACTGAAAAAAAGTGATTTATGGCCATTTTTCACATTTATGACCTTTGCAGCATTTTAACATACATTTTGATTTACATTCGGATGCTTGACAACTGACTTACATTTATGACGGTTGCAGGGACCCGGGGTCATATGACTGCCTTTTGCGACCTTCTGACAAGCAAAGTCAAGGGGAAACCAGATTCACTTAACAACTATGTTATTAATTTAATGACGGTAATGATTCCATTAACCAATGTGGCTAGGAAAGTCATAAAATGGGGAAAAGCTCACTTACCCAATTTCTCACTCAGCGACATAGATTTTGGGCTGAATTGAGGTCGTAAATTGAGGACTACCTGTAAAAGAAATCCATTTGCCCATCTCAGCAAATTCTGTCCATTTCACCAACCAATTCCTCCATGGTGGGCAGGGCTGAATTTTTCTGAATCTTCCATGTGGAATAGAAAGAAAATGGCTGCTGTCAGGTTAGATTCAAAGTTGACAGTTGCTGCAGCCAACTGTCACTGATCGGAATCTTTGTTCTGTTGCTAGGCAACTAACCTAACAGAACCTCCCTTCTGCTCTCCTTCATCCTGGGCCATGACAAGTCAACACTTCAAGAGCCAAAATAAACAGCAAAGAGGACAAAGGAACACTTTCTCTTGTCCCCTTCTAGATATCACATGGTTTACGTAAATCACCATTAATCATAATTGCAGTCTTCTGACACTAATTTCCTTGAATAAAATTTTCAGCAAAGTTCATTTCTTCCAGAACTTTTAGTAAAAAAGACTAATTCAAATCCCAGGTTCCCTCAAACTAGCTTGTGGGTGGATGTGGGAAGAAATCACATCTCACCATCCGCCATACTGTTGGCACTGCCAACATCTCCCCTGCAGATCTCACAGCCCACTCTTTATTTAACAAACAAAGAAAGAAACACAGATTAAAAACATACAATAATGAAAACCCATTAAAACCAGATTAAAATAATAAATAATAAAAACCCAAGGAACAGAATCAGCCCATTTGTTGGAATAACCAAGTCTTCAGGCCTCGACGGAAGGAGCAGAGATCCGGGGCTGTCCGGAGCTTGGTGGGTAGTTCGTTCCAGAGGATAGGGGCGCCCATAGAGAACGCCCTAGCCCTGGGTGTCACCAGATGGCATTGCCTGGACAACGGTACCCTGAGGAGAGCAACCCTATGGGAGCAGACAGGACGTTGGGAAGCAGGCAGGAGATGGTCCTGCAAATACCCCGGACCTAAGCCATGTAGGGCTTTATAGGTCAATACCAGCACCTTGAAGCGGATCCAGAGGACCACCGGTAGCCAGTGCAGCTCACGCAGGAGAGGTGTTACATGGGAGTAACGAGGAGCTCCCGTAACAACCCGCACGGACGCATTATGGACCAGCTGGAGCCTCCGGGTGCACCTCAAGGGCAGCCCCATTTAGAGGGAGTTGCAGTAATCCAAGCGGGAGGTAACCAGGGCATGAGTGACTGTGCAGAGGGCATCACGGTCTAGAAAAGGGCACAACTGGCGCACCAGGCGCACCTGTGCGAAACTCCCCTGGTCACGGCTGTCAAATGGTCTTCTAGGGACAGCCGGGAATCCAGGACACCCAACTTGCAGGCCCTTTCAATGGGGGCGAGTACCTCCGCCCCACATCAAAAGTGACGGGACCTCTAGAACATGGGATGCCGGTATCCACAGCCACTCAGTCTTGGAAGGGTTGAGTCTGAGTCTGTTCTTGCCCATCCAGGCCCGTAACACCTCCAGGCATCGGGACATCACGGAAAGGACATCCCCGGGGTGGCCCAGGGTGGAGTTATATAATTGAGTATCATCTGCATATCATCATCTCGAAACCACGAATGATCTCACCCAGTGGCTTCATATAGATGTTAAAGAGTAGCGGGGAGAGAACCGACCCCTGAGGCACCCCACAAGTTAGGGGCCTCGGGGTGGACCTCTCTCTCCCCGCCCATACAAACTGCAAGGGACCTGAGAGGTAGGAGGAAAACCACTGTAAAACAGTGCCTCCTACCCCCAACCCCCCAAGTCGCTGCAGTAGGATACCATGGTTGATGGTATCAAAGGCCGCTGAGAGGTCAAGTAGGACCAGGATGGAGGAACAACCTCCATCCTGGGCTCGCGAGGGATCATTCACCAGGGTGACCAATACCGTTTCCGTGCTGTGCCTGTGCCGGAAACCCGATTGGTATGGGTTTAGATACTCCGTTTCCTCCAGGAACTGTGGGAGCTGTTGTGCCACCATGGTCTCAACAACCTTCGCAATAAAGCGAAGGTTGGAGATGGGCCGATAGTTGTTAAGTGAGTCTAGATCCAGGGCAGGCTTCTTGAGGAGGGGTCGAACCACCACCTCCTTAAGCGAGGTGGGGAAGACCCCCTCCCTCAAAGAAGAGTTGATAATTGCCTGGATCCAGTCTCCAGTCACCTCCCAGGCAGCTGAAACAAGCCAGGAGGGACACGGATCCAGCAAACACATGGAGGCACCCAGTCTACCCACGATCCTGTCCACTTCATCGACAGAAACAAAGTCAAACTCAACCCAGGTGTTACTCCCAAGATCTACCCCAGTCTCAAAACTGGATTCCGCCCAGTCAGAGTCCAATCCAGTCCAGATCTGAGCGATTTTTTCATGCAGAAACTGTACAAAATCCTCAAGCTCTACCCTGCAAGGGGTCTTCCCTCACTCCCTGATTAAGGAGGGAGCGGGTCACTCTAAACAGGGCGGATGGGTGGTTTTCTGCAGATGCAATGAGAGCAGCAAAATAATCCCGCTTAGCTGCTTCCATTGCCACAAGATAAGACCTAATATGGGTTCTTAGCTGTGTTCGATCAGATTCAGACCGGGAGGACCTCCAACACTCCTCTAGGAAAGAAAATCACAAACAGGCCCTAGTCTTAACTTTAGACAGTGTTCAAGGGACTGATTGCCTCCATAGCTCTGGCTGACTTGCCCAAGAGACTTTGGAGGAGACACCATCTTGAAGGACAGCAAAAGTTACCTGGTTGTGGATATATCTTCATCTATTTCCTGGATGAGTCCTGACAGGAAGGATAACCACCAGAGAACAGGGCCTCCAAGGGTGTATCTGAGATTTTTCACTAACAACTTTTTCTCCAGCTTCTCCTCTGCAGATGGGACTGTGAAGTAGTTTAGGATCCCAAGAGGAAAAGTTGTTTCTCAGTGTAATGATCACAATTCTGGGTTTGGGACATCTGCTGCTGCTTCTCCAGTGACTACCTTTGATGTAAACATTAGACTGAAGCAACATGCAAAGGTCTTGTATCAGGAAAGAATATAGGCATCAGATCACAGGCTGTGTGGCACAAGTTTTGGGACAGGCAGGGACTGTGCTTTTGAATGTACATTTCTTTCCTTTCAAGACGAAAGTCATTTTGTCTCTATCTAAATTGGGAAAGTCCTTGGCATTTCCATCTTGTAGAGTGTTTTGAATTCTTCTAACTCTTCTTGTTCTTGTTTAGAAATAGGAAAGGGGTTAATTCATCCCTGTGAATTATGGACCTCTTTCTTCTGCTTCTGATGCTTCTGGTGTCCCAGCAAGTCTCCGGGAAGCTTAGACTGAAGTGCCCACTGAGTTTGGAACACCGGGATGAAAGTTATCCATGGAGCTATTATGGGCAAGGAGACCATCTCATTGGTGTAGTCCTCTGTGCCACAAGAATATTGCGTGAAATGTTGCCTTTCAACATGGCTCCAAATAAAAAGTCTCATTCGTAAGTCATTAATGTGTGTGATGGAGTTGCATTCCCTCCATTTACACTTCTGTTCTTTTTATTTCCCTTGCTCCTATGTTACAGGACCTGTCTAATTTCCTGAATCCTTTTGATTTCCACGGCTTCCCTCTTTTGTCCACTTTTGCGGAAGAGACTCAAATCCAGAGATGGGGCAAGGAAAACACCTGAATGAATTCCAGATTGTTTCCCCTTTGCTGTCCAATGCAAAGTTTATCACTTGAATGCTAGGTTTTCCTTAAAATAATGATGGAAAGAGCTGTAGTTTCCTCTGCCCAGCCCTTTTCCATGCTTTTATAACATCTCATTGATAGCCATTCCCTGATTCTTATAGAAAGAGAGGATGAGTTGTTTGCAGAATGACTTTTCCTGGGCATGTATGAAAAGGCCTTTTCTTTTTATTGTGGTTCTACTCTAATGATTGAATTAGTTTGAAACTGAGTTATTGGAGAAATAAAAATCAGCACTACTACAAAATGATATATTTGTAACTTTTAACCTTGGTGGTGGTTAATCTCAATCCCATCTTCTGAACAATAATAAAATGGGTGACTATTATTTGACTCTGGTTATGGATCGGTATTAGCGTATGGATCCAAAAAGAAATAAATAAACTTGAACATTATTTTACAGTAAGACATTTAATGATATGCATAGAATCATCCGCTTCATTATGACCATTGAAGAGGTCAACAAGAATCAACAGTACCTGCAAAATGTCACCGTGGGTTACAACATCCAGGATGACTATTTTAACACAATTGGCACTTCAGAAGCTTTGCTGGACATGCTCTCTACCGGAGAAGCCAATGTTCCCAATTACAGTTGTGGAAGGAAGGACAACCTTTTGGCTCTTCTTGATGCAGCTGCCAGTGATATCTCCATCCAGATGTCAACCTTAGTAGGCACCTACAAAGTGGCACAGGTTTGTGTGTGTGTGTGTGTTTCTCTATCTGGTCAAGTGAATGGAACAATAGATCCAACTATTTTGTTTATGTTAGTTAGTTTACTTTATTGTCGTTGCACCTCATACAATGAAATTAAATGCCGTCTTCAGTGTTCATCATACATAAGAAAACTATAAAAATAAAACAAAAACACACATCCTTCACATTCTGTACAATTGGATTGAAATCCAGTGGTCCTGCATTAGTATAACACTATACAGTAGAATTCAATATAGTTACTGCTCTGGGATAGAAGCTTTTTTTCAGCCTATTTGTCCTTGTTTTTAAAATCCTGTACCAACTGCCAGATGGTTATAGTTCAGGAAAAAAAGGGGGTACCCAGGATGAGATGGATCTTTAAGGATGTTTTGAACTTTCTTAAGGCAGCAGGAGCTAGAAAGCTCTTCCAAAGAGGGGAGAGGGCAACCAATGATGCTAACCCTCTGGAGCGCTGTCCTATCTGCCACTTTGCAATTGGCAAACCATACAGAGGTGCAGTTAAGTTAAAAGACTCTCTATCTTTCTGTCGATGCAGAAAGTTCTAAAATATTATATAATGCTGTTATTTATGTTTTGTATTTTACCGTTTGGTGTATGTGTAGGTTTCTTTTTCTTCTTTTTCTTTTTTCTTTTTTCGTCTTTTGTATTTTTCTATTATCTTTTTGGTTTTAAAAATGTAAAATATTCAATAAAAACTTTTTTTTAAAAAAATACTCTCTATGGTGCAGCAGTAGAAGGTCACCAATAATTTTTCACCAGTGCTTTTGACCAGTGCTGCAATATGAACACCCCAGGTCAGGTCCTCTTTTATGATAACACCCAAAAACTTAAAACTGGCCTATATAAGCTCCTTGGTCTTATTTATTTATTTATTTATTTATTCATTTATTTATTTATTTATTAAATTTCTATACCGCCCTTCTCCCGAAGGACTCAGGGCGGTGAACAGCCAGAAGATAAAACACAGGAAATACAAAATCTAAAATAAATTAAAACAAATTAAATAATTTAGGCTGAATTTTAAAATACCCCATAATTAAACAGATTAAAAATGTATGTTTAAAATTTAAATTTAAAAGAGGAGATGATTTAGGCCAGGCTTATTGAAGAAGGTGAAGGTGAAGAATTCTTTATTGGCCAAGTGTGATTGGACACACAAGGAATTTGTCTTGGTGCATATGCTCTCCTTGTACATAAAAGAAAAGATACATTTGTCAGGTACAACACTTAATTATAGTCATAGGAAACAAATAAGCAATCAAAACCTATTAGGAAAAAGTCAATATAAATCTTAAGGATACCAGCAAAAAGGTTACAGTCATACAGTCATAAGTGGGAGGAGATGGGTGACAGGAATGATGATGAGATTAATAGCAATAGTGATGCAGACTTAGTAACTAGTTTGACAGTGTTGAGGGAATTATTTGTTTAGCAGAGTGATAGGATTTGGGGGAAAAACTGTTCTTGTGTCTAGTTTTTCTGGTGTGCAATGCTGTATAGCGTGGTTTTGAGGGTAGGAGTTGAAACAGTTTGTGTCCAGGATGTGAGAGGTCATTTACATTTTCACAGTCTTCTTTTTGACTCGTACAGTATACAGGTCCTCAATGGAAGGCAGGTTGGTAGCAATAGTTTTTTTCTGCATTTCTAATTATCCTCTGAAGTCTGTGCCCAAACCAGACAGTTATAGAGGTGCAGATGACAGCTTATTGGTGTTAAGTACCAAGTTATTGTCTCCACACCATGAAAGCAATTATGGAATTCAAGAACTGCTTTCCACTGTGGCCATTTCAGGTGTCATTGCTATGGCTTAGGATCCTTAGGGGAAGGATCAAAGCAGTCATATCCTCTCATGACACCATCCCCATTGCTTTGGGGCTTTCTGCTACATGCTTGTGAAAGTGTGCAGAGGCTCTGGATCTAATCAAATTGTCTTCTGTGCAAAAGGAAAATGAAGCAATGATAGAAAGCTCTTGTTTTGTAGATTATATTAGCCAAAATAATATTATTTTACAATAGTAACATATCCTAGATTCATGAAAAGAATCCCAGTGGATTATCTTACTTACAGTCTACATAGAAATTCATAGAGACCACTAGCATTAACTAACCACTTTATTAAAACATTGCAAACATGTTAGCCAAAATGGTAAGAGCCACATGGCTCAGTGGTTAGAATGCAGTACTGCAGGCTACTTCTGCTGACTGCTGGCTGACTGCAGTTTGGCAGTTTGATTCTCACCAGGCTCAAGGTTGACTCAGCCTTCCATCCTTCTGAGGTGAGAAAATTCAGGACCAGATTGTTGGGGCCATAGGCTCTGACTCTGTAAACCACTTAGAGAGAGCTGTAAAGCACAGTGAAGCAGTGCTATTGCTCTTGCTTCCCCCCCCCCACCAACTAATTGGTGATATAATCTATCAGAGAAGTGTCAAAGAGCAAGTCCTTTACCAGAACCTCCTACTGTCTGGACTACTCAAGAAATATCCCAATTGGTGGTATTTACTCAAGAAAATTTCAGCACCTGGAATAATTGTTAAATAAGTACATTATAACCCACAGACCTCTAATTGTGAAGCTCCAGAGATAAAAGATGTAACATATCTATTATCTAAATGTTAATAGTATATTGATTTATTTTAGACAGTTTAGACAGTCTAAAGACAGTCTAAAGACAGACAATAGACAGTTTAAGGTTAAAGTTATGGGGGGTTGAGGATGTAACAACAGAGTCAGGTAGTGCATTCCAGCCATTGATCACTCTGTTGCTGAAGTCGTATTTTCTACAATTGAGTTTAAAGCGGTTTACATTGAGTTTGTATCTATTGTGTGCTCGTGTATTGTTGTGGTTGAACCTGAAGTAGTCATTGACAGGTAGGACGTTGTAGTGGATAATTTTGTGTACTACATTTGGGTCAGACCATAAGCAACATAGTTCTAGTATATGAAATATACTATATTTATATTAATATGTATATGAAAGAAAGAGATCAGTATCTTAAACCACACGTTAGATGAAGGACCTTTTGGAATTTATACATTGAACCAATATATTTCCTTTGCAATCAGAATTTTAAAACGTACTTATAATATGAAACTGTAGTTGAACAAAAGAGTTCAGCTGGTATCCCCATATGTGGATCTCATGGTGGTAAATTGTAGTGATGATATAGAAATATTATTTGTAGTCTTGATTCTTTTCTTTTATTCTTATTAATTTGTTTTTATTCCATTTTATATAAGGTTCTGCTTATTATATTATGTATCTTCATATGGGGTCTAATAACTGATCAACCACATACTATTCTTATATGTTCCTAAGAAACAAGTTGGATGGATAAAAAGTTAACATTTGGACTTGATCTGACCCCAAATATAACACAGAATTCTTCATAACTTTTTTTCAGACCAATTATGAAAAATTTTCAGAGGCTCTGAATGATAAAAGTCAGTTCCCCTTTTTCCACCCGATGTTCCCCAAAGAAGGGATCCAATATCCCGGCATTGTCCAACTGCTCCTCCATTTCAGATGGACCTTGATTGGTCTCTTTGCTTCAGACACAGAAAATGGAGAGAATTTCATGAGGATTTTTCCTCAGATGCTTGTCAGGAATGGGATTTGTGTTGTTATATCACAACAATTTTCAACGACTCAACTTACAGCACCCCTCAAGGATGCCGTCTCTAAGTGGAGACAAGTCAATGTCTTTCTTCACTCCATCGAACATGTTCCTCTTTTGGAGAGAATTATTCCTTTCCATTTAACATTTAGGCAGTTTTCTGGACCTATAGAAGGGAAAGTCTGGATCCTCACATTCTTGGAGAAATATAACATGCAAAGGAACAAACTTTTCAAGTATATTCATAGTGTTTGGATTTTTTCTTTACAGGAAAAAAAAGATAATGCCATATACCCCTACCACTATGTAGAACCCCAATATCGAGATCGGTCTTTGCACTGTTCTTTTTCAAAGCATGCCTTTTCTGTCAAAGGCCGGAGAAGATGCACCCAGAAAGCATCATTAGAGAATAAAATAAGCGGGGTACAGATTGAAACTAAACTAAAAGATTTCAGTATTATGAGGACCCTGGCCCACGCCTTGAATGCTGCATATGCCTCCATATCCAGGAGGAGAAGAAAGAAGGACAAAGAGAAGTTGAGCGATTCAAGGCTGCAGCCATGGCAGGTATTGGATCCCAACAAGGATCTTGGTTCCTTTGGAGAAGGA